GTGTGTGTGTGTGTGTGTGTGTGTGTGTGTGTGTGTGTGTGTGTGTGTGTGTTCACAGCTGGTTTTAATATAGGAGGAACATATATGAAAACAGTAAGAAGCAGTGGAGGGAATACAGATTTACAGCTGAAAGTCAGAGCAGAAAATAACATATATCACAACCTCATGTAGACTCAGGCATTTTCTAACTTTATCTGCCTATCCTTAAGCCTGAATATCCAGAGAGAGCAGAGGAGCTGTGAAGATGTATAATAGATGCCAAGGTTTAGCTCCTTAAAGATATATGAAACTCTCCTGCATCGAAATATGTAAAAACAACTACACCTACAGTATGTTGAGCATTACACCAATTGTTTCCAAGGATTTTCAAGCCTCAACAAATCTGTATATGAAATCGAGCTTTCAGTCTGTTTCATTTGGGCTCCTGTAATGGCAACGTAACTTATTTGTGCCTGTTTCAGTAATTTTCAATAATCAGTCATTTTTTCAGATACTTTATTTTTACAAAATGTGAAATTAAAACGTTTTAATTGAAAAAGGGAAATTAAAGTTCAACTCTAATTGTCACAAAAGAAAGTGAAATCCAAACACTAAATGTAACCCATACTAGTATGAGCTAATGGTTTCAAAAAGGATTTGACCTTTTCCTCTACTCAATGTTTTCAATCCTATATAGCAGAGAGGAGACTGGGGACAGTTTCAACACCTTTTGCATTTATCTTAGTTACTCAAAGATGATCTTCAACCACATTGTTATATAACTTATGTCTGCTAATTACCTATACCATTTAAAGCTGAATTCTTAAAGCATATTGTTCTCAATGATTACTTGAAAGGAAGAAGTCAGATGTTGCAACTGACCCCAGACCTCGGAACAGTTGCAACAAGTTTAAAATCCCATTAAATTCACTAATTCACTTCCAGTTTTTGAAGGAGCTTAAAATATGTGGGTCATTCCAGAATTGGAGGACATTTCATGTCCCCCATATAAAAGATCTAATAATCCATGCCCAAAATGCTAAAGCATGCACTTGTTGTGTTAAACATACTTGTCTTGAGACTAAATGTATATAAAGTTGTAGAAAAAGTGGTTTCAAAATATTATTTAAATGATCAAATAGCTCTCGAACATACCCTAAAATGGCATTTTTCTCTTGTCCCCGCTTCTTGGTGTCCAACTTGCATGTCAAATATAACATTTAAAATAGGGATTTTATTTACTTTATTTGGTATTATTCTATTGATATATGTCTCTTGTAATGGTAAAATCAAATTGTTAAATCATAAACATATTTTAAATAACAGTAATTTTTGCACAGAAGGTGTGTCCCTCAACATGCGTTCAACCATAAACCTTTTTAGATTGGCACAGGAAGTGAACAAACTGTAAGTCAGATGACACAGTTTGTTCAGTGCCATGGGTAGACCAAAACTAAGTCCTCTCTTTTATTTTTCATATTTTTACAATCTTTTCAGTCTTAAAAGAGTGTGGCACTCTGACCCACTCAACCCTGTTACTGATATTATCAGAATAAAGCATATTCATTTCAAAGTTATCTTTCTTGCATTAGATATCCAAGTTTGTCCTTGCCTTGAAAGTAGCATTACATGCTACATCTAGCAATACTTCCTGAGGTTAAAGCTCAAATTAGCATTGATTTTCAGCCCTGTTACTTTCAACCCTGTATATAATTAGAGTAACAAGGGTAATTCTTCATTGGAAAATATACATTTGATGCCTAGCTGGGCAAATCACTTTTTTTGATGGTTTATTATCTGTTCTTCCTGAATACATAAAAAAAATAAAAGGTTCATTTTTCAAAAATGTTGGTGTCTAAATTGTCCTCCAATTCTGGAATGACCCATGTATTGTTTTACCTCTACTTGAGCATGACTCTTTTACACTTAACTGCAGGCTGAGCCACTGCCAGGGAGTGAAGCCCTCCATATCTGGACTTGAGGAGCAGCTGTGAGCAGGCCCGGACTGGCCATCGGGAGGACCGAGAGGTTTCCCGATGGCCTGGCCTGCTAAGTGGCCTGCTGGCCTGAGGACTTTATTTTATTTTATGTAGCCTATGTATTGTGAACGCAACGCTGCACAAATGTGGGTCTGACTCTGCCTCACAGAGGGTGACTGGCTGTCTACATGATGTGGCCTGCCGACATGGCCACTTTCATACAGATCATACTAATACCCTCGATTGGTCTCTGTGTGTCATTCAAGCTCGGGAGGGTGTGTGTTATGTGTGGCGCGAGCGAGTGAGATAAAGCACGCGCACCGGTTACGTGTATTGTTGTTGTTAGCATCTGGTGCTAGCTAGCTGCGCTAACAGATATAAGGAGCTTTTTCAACAACAAGGTGGAGGGAGAGTCCTCTCCAGTCAGACTGAGAGACTGATAACCTCAGCTCAGGTGAGGTAAAGGACTCTCTGAGTGCTAGATAGTTAACTTAGTCTAAGTTATCCCAGTGGGTCTCAAACGGTTTGGTCACCATTTATGTAAACACATATTTCCATTTGAGGGGGGAGTGATTAGTAAAATATGCATGAATAATTTAAAAAAAACGTTAACTAGGTGAAAAAAGGTAAGATAAACTATTAAAACTTGTTGAGAGCTAAAACTAGTCTTTGCTGCTGCCTCAAAGAGGAGCAGGGAGGAGAGGGGGGAGACAGGAGAGGCTGGTTCAGGAGCACAGACACACTCACAACTATAAATGAACCAAAAACAAATAAATAAACAAGTTTCAATGTTTTTTCATATTGGATATGGTATGTTATTGGTTATGGCCATGTGCTTATGATTTTTATGATTATTTAAATGTATACAGTTCTGTTTCATATGGGTGTAGTCTCTTCATTTCCACCTCAAAGTGTACCAGATTGATGCATTTAAGGCCCCCGGACCCCCCTATAGGATTTGAGGTACACCCCCACTTAAAATATGTTCACATAGGTTCCTATATAGATTTGCACATTTTTTAAAATAGTAACCCATGTCCATATGTTTACTTTTGGGTAGTAGATTTAGAGGGCTATCACTACGGGCAGCAACGCTGTAAATATTGACAAATAAATCCAGCAAAATGGCACACAAAACTGGTAGTGGCCTGGCTGGGTGTATAATTCCCGGCCTGACTTATTGTCCCAGTCCGGCCCTGGCTGTGAGAGCAGCCGGCCTCCAGGGACAGACTGAGTTGGTTGGACCGCAGCACACACAGAACTGTCTGCACGCGTGCTCTGAGTCATGTCCACCGCAGAGAGCCATTCATTCTGCAGTAGCTCCCAATGTGGGGCACTTAAGTAGCAAATACTTCTCCCTCCCTGCACTAATGACTGCTGACCACTCCTGTGTGGACTTTACACTCAACTCTGCGGGCAGTTCAGACAAGAGCAAGTGGAAAAAGTGAAGAATGACGAGTTGTTTAACACAATAGCTTGTTTTAGAGGTGCAGTACAGGGAAGTAAGTGGGTTGATCGCTCTTTTCCTAAGCTGCGCTGCCAGTGTCAACTGGAAACCTGGAGTTCTTGCAGCTACACGTCAGGAGCAGATTCCTGAGGCAGACTGAGCAAAGCTGTGGAAATTAACTCAACAGAAAGTTAAGACCCAATTAGAGCACAAGTCCACTGACTTCACATATGTCTGACCAAAATGTCTACAGGTATATTTTGTTTCCTTTAAGCTTTTAAGCATTTTAAAGTGTTACCGTCAGTTGCTTTATAAATATCAACTGGTCTATTTTTAACAGAATCTAACCATTTAGTTACTAATACTACTTTAACTTGTATCAGAGCATTTTGTACAGACAAAATAAAATATATAAACTTCAATCCATCAGCCCCTCATAAGGCTAACAGAGAGACACCGCCACCTAGAGGTAGGCAAATAAAACTTCACAATTGAAACATTTATTTTGAGACAGTTAAAGGTGAGGTGGGTAATTTTGGAGAAACCAGCTCTAGTCATGGATGTCTCTCGTGCGCTAGAATTTGAAACTACGCAGCCGAAAATAATCTGCCACTTCCTTACAGAGCCCCTCCTCCAACACACGATGGAAGGCTGACAGGCAGGTTACTTGACCAGTTACTTTAGCCGGGCCGGCTAAAATGCCACAGATGACATTTTTGTATATATTTATTGTCAAAGCATTTAATATATTCATTGCTATCGGGATGTTAAGAGCATTCCATGGAATATAACAAAAAGTGTATCTGAAATAAATTACATACCCCACCTTTAAACAAAATAAATTATAAAGGACAACTTGGTAAATGCTACTGATTTATTTTGGATTCTTGACCAGTGACAATTATGATGTTCTCCTTCCTGTCGACAAATGGCTACGTGCTAAAATGTGACTGAAACTCCAGCCTCAGTCTTTAAATGGATAATTATCCAGTCAGTGAATAACCTGCAGTGGATGACAGCTGGCACGCTTCCAGTTCAGTGAAGCAGAAAGTATGTTCCGTCAAGGAGTAAAGCAAGTTATAGCTGGATATGGGAGCTGAAGCTATTCTAGCAACCTAAACAAAATCCAGACAAATCAAAAATCAATATCAGTTTGAGGGTTATCTATACCAACAATATTTTACCACTTTCCCTTGCTGCCCTTTTGACAGGGAAATGAAGTCATGTTGCAAAACCCACCAAAGTCCAGTGACAAAAACAATAATTGTACGGCTCAGAACACGGGGGTTTTCTGGTCTACGGCTGCCTCAATCTGTTAGTTTGTGTTGGTGAAGCAAAAGTAAAAAGCACCAAAGTGATCACCAAATGATTGTTTTGTCAATGGGGTCTGGTATTACACTGACTGCATAAGATCTTCATAAAACCTGCTTTAAGAGCAAATTATCCTTTTAAAAGTAAAACTTATTTGGTCTCTATGACACTCCAAGACATTATTGACAGCTGCAGATTCAACCCTTGGCTTCCATCACCTTCCTACCAGAATGAAATATATTTTAGTTGCAAATAGAAAAGATATTGAAATAAACCAAGAGAAGTTGCCTTATTTAAAGATTTATTAATTTATAATACAAGCTTTTATGTAGACCACATTGCATTTTTTGTTTTTACATGTATTCATACTGAGCTAAACTTCATAGCAGTGACATTGACAAACACAAACCAAAGGACACTCAATGGAAGGAATCAAAAGGTTTCCGAAGAAACCGCAGCCCATGAACACTCCCAGTGCACCACCTTAATTTTTTTAAGAGCACATGCCCTCACTAGCCATCATACAGTATGCCACGTGCATCACACACCCTCAGACACACTCACATACAGACTCACCCACACTAAAATTTAACAAATACCTATACACAAGATAAAAATTGATATATTTAAATTTCAATATTAATGATATTACTGATTTCCACGATAAAAGGCAAACATGAAGCAAAGACAGCATCCAAATGAAAAGGAGGTGAAACACCACCAACAATGTTTCCTTTAACTCTTCCTCCAGGTGGGAGAAGCTCCCCCCTGCCTCGCTCTCAGTGTCCAGTAGAGGGGGGACACACCAACGACACTCCTCCCTCACATCTTCAACTGCTTCTTCTGTCTGCGATTCACTGGCCCGCCGCATCGCCCCCGCTGCGAGGAAACATCGACGGCCTAGTCCTTAAAGTCAAAGCCTCAGGTGTGAACACCCGGCGGCACACGAGCTACGCGCCGACTATCTTTTTTACGCCTCCAGTCTGTTCCCGTTTGATCCTGAATGCCCCCTCAGGTGGTTCCTCTTCCTTATAAAGTCCTGTCTCCATTGGTCCATTATTCCCAGGATAAACAGGTGTAAGGTAATGGCACAAACGCCACTGGTGCTGATACAGACCGCCAGACTCAGTTAGTGAGGAACATGACGAGGACGGTGATGGCACATTTTTTACCACGTGGGGAGTTAGGGTCTGTTCCTCTGACTAAATAAAACAAGCCATTGAGGGGGGGAAATGATGGCGATGAAACACGATAAACATTTTCTGAATCAACAAACTGGTTAAGTGCAATGACAGGGTTAACAGCATTCAGTAGGGAAACATCCATGTGACTAGTAGGGAAGAGTAATAGCCCAAAAATCTATTTACAGCAACTCTGTGTCCATTTCCACCACGTGTGACGGCTCTTTAAAACTTTTGCGGTCCGCGAGGGAGCGGGGTATTGTTTAATGTCATGATCTTCAAATTAAAAGGAATACTAACAGCAAATTCTGCCGACACAGTAAAAGTTTTTGGGGGAGAAGGGAATATATTGGCACAAATGAAAGCCTCAGATTGGACAAGCGTTCAACCAAAAGCGGATGAGAGCCCCAACCGGACTTCCTGTGATCCAAATCCAGATGACAGGCAGGAGAGAACAGGGTGTGTGCATGTTAATAAATGTGTCTCATGTGTGTGTGTTATATATGTGTGTGGAAAATGTTTGTTTCAGTTACTTTACAAGAGGAGGCAGCAGTTGCTCTCTGTGGTTTTTTCTCTGTTCCTTTGACCTACAAAGAGAAGACAGCAGAGACATGAGGTGAGATTTTTTAAAAGCAACCAGCTGAAACATGGCTCTGCAGACTGAGAGGGAGCAGCCGTAGCTACACCTACTGAATGATGCATGTGAAAGGTCAAACAAAGTGGAGCCTGAGAAAGCAAATTATCAACTTCCGTGCTCTGCTGCTGTAGACACACGGCGCTTAAAGAGATCCTACGCTCATAAATCCTAAGAGAAACCTCTAACATTTACCTAAAACTGCATCAGCATATTGAAGGTGCAACGGAAACATAGGTGTAGCCCTGCAGTTTGTTTTGGCTGTTTGTCAGCCCAGATATCTTGTGAAAAAGCTACAGTTCACCCAAATAAAAAAAAAATCTAAAAACTTACTGAATTTAATTTGGTAAAAAGAAAATAATTCTACATAAAAAGGTCTGTGGATTATCTTCTGTCTAATAATAAATGCTATTGTTTTAATATCTTATCATACACCATCGTTTTGTGTATTGCATAATTGTTTTAAATATTTATATTGTTGTAATTGAGTTGTTTATTGCTGTTGTGAAGCACTTATTATTAATCTCTCTATGGCTGATATCTCCAATAGACCCCAAAGCAATCTAAATGCAGAAAAAGCATAAAAGTTTGGTGGAAAAACACATATTTTTAGGTTATTTTGTTCTTTTATGACTTTGATTTCCTACCTGCCTTCACCAGGCTTTTCAGAAATGTAGCCGTTAACTGTTTAACTCAGTAACTTCAGTTCAGCTTCAGTAACGTATTATTGTCCAGAGTGAACTATTTTAGCTTTTGTTAGGCCGAGCAGCAAGGCGAAGCTCTTCCATATTCTCAGAACTGTCACCTTTTGTAACAACTTGGGAGTTTTCAGGCATGAAGCTACTTAAATCTAACAATATACCTTGTTCTGTAACTATATTCTGCAACGGAAAAGACAAGAAAAGATCCTCACCATGAGAGTTGGGCTCTGGGAGAGTCTCTCTGGCGACCAGGTGCATGACGGTGGTTCGGCCTGGTGGCAGCTTCAGAGCTTTGAACAAAGAAAGACACCTCATTATTTATTTATCCTGCAGCTACATTAAACAGTAAGGTCCTGAAGAAGGATTCATGTTTATGATACAGTTTGAAGATACATCATCATGGTGCTTTTGAAAGGACAACACAACCATCTTAAAAAGACTGAGGTGACTTCACAAGCTCCTGTCACTATGGCAACAGATGTGTTAATCACGTCACATCCTGAATCTGTGAAACTGAAATAAACCACAATGCTGTTTTAAGTCAGAGCACCAGTATTCTTCAACTGTGAAATAACTTAAGATTACAGTTATGGCCATTTATTGGAGATACTATTTTATACATGTTTCCAGTTTTACCTGTGGATTTTCATCTCTATTGTGAAACTTGAATATAATGAACCAACAGGACCAATACAATATTTTGCTTGTAAGCCTAATAAACCTGCAGATACGCTGTGGATGAACAACCTACAGAGCTGCTTGAATATCGACAAAATCTCCCTTTACTACATTTGGAACAACTGTGATTTATATAAAGACATGTTGCACCTGTTGTCTTCGGGGAAACATTTAAGTTCAAGTGGAATATAATGCAGTTTATTTACCTCCCAGGGTTACGTTGCCATGAAGGAAGCGTCCCTGGAAGATGAGGCGCAGGATGCTGGGGCTGCTCACCGTCTCCTCCTCCCATCCTGCAGAGAAACAAGAGCATCACTTACTGTAGCCACAACTATACTGGAGATCTGAGGACAACAATGATGTTGAAAAGGATCTGATAAAAGGGTTAGTCACTTTTTATATAAACACATTCATCTAAAAACGCACATCACTAAGATTTGTAGGTTTCTCCAATTGTGACAAAGATATGCAATGGGCAAATATTTTACATAAAAAAACACAACATATGTTAAACTTTTTCTAAATGATCCTAAAACTATCCAATGTATGGATTTATCTGCAATACGGTAATATCAGCGGATTTATTGGCCTGGTTTATTTATCTATACAACTCAAATGTTTACTGGAACTTTTCTACACACTTTTACTATTGTGATTACCTGTGTGCTCCCTTTTGACTTATTTAAGGAGTGGGAAAGTGAGCCTTTTAATATTAGCATTATAAACGAGCATGTGCAGGCCTTGCTAGTGGTAGTCCACAAAGAAAACAGACAAAGAAAATAATCAATAATATTATATTAATATCCTATAATATGGAATTATTGACAGAAACGGAGTCAGCAAAGAGTATGACTGAAACAGAAGAGCTGCATAGCAAAAACATCTGTGAAATATATCAAATTAACACAAAAAAAAACCCCGCTATCTGAATCATATAAAAACGTACCTGCGGGCCAGTTGTCAAACACATGCTTGGCGATGTCTGTGGCCGAGTCATTTGGGGAGAAAGTGAAGTCTTGCGTTTTCCCGCTGACCAGGATTAGGCGGAGGTGCACCTAAAACAACAAACAAAAAAACAGCTCAATCGCAGTCCATAGAAAAGTCGTACGAGCGCCATCACAGAACATCAAACATCCATTAGAGTCGATCTTAATTAGTGTCGGAGGAATCCCTCCACTTCCTCTGACCTCTGCAGATATGCGGTGACCTCCACGCGGCTGGGAAGAGACGGGCATTCCAGTCTAATTAGATTTATCCACACCAGATCTCCACCCTTCGAACTGGGCGACTTCCTTCACCGAGGGCTTACACTGAAGTGAGCCCCTGTTGCCAGAGAGGACAACAGATCAGGGTGGGGCTGCGGGGGAAGACTGGCCCTTTAGTTCCTTTCCGGGCTGTCGGCCTAATGCGATAACCCCAGGTGTCCCAGACAGCTCTGGGCCACGTTATTACATTTAGATGGCCAGTGCGTAGCCCCGAGGGGGTTGTGCATATGTGTGGGAGGGTCTTTAACGGTGGGGCTGCCTCAACGTTTTATCCTCTGGGCAACCACAAAAACCAATCTGTTAATAAACGAATAAATAAAAAGGAGTTGCTTTTACTTGCCTTGAAGCCGTACATATTCACAGGACACCCATGTGGGACACTCCGCACTCGGACTACATCAACACTTTAAAAAACACTCAGAGCTGTCACAACTCATTGATGAAATGATCAACATAATATATTGTTTTGGTATTAAACTCCTTCATTTTTAAAGTTAAAACTTCTTGTTTTCCCTCTTTTCTTTGTCTTTTGTGAACCATCTTATTTGGATGTTTTAAAAACACAAAAAAATGTGATACAAAATATTTGTTTAGCTCCTTTGTATTAAATGAGGTTAGGGACAGTGCAGACGTTCAGCTTTCAGGGTGTGTGTGTGTGTGTGTGTGTGTGTGTGTGTGGTCACATTCATGTTCAACAGTGTTGAGATTTCACACATGGTCCCCAAGCGGATGTCTTCATCAACAAAATCAATCAGCTGCCATCAGACAAAGAGTGCTTAAGGTCAGCTGCAAGATGTGTTTCCGCTGAAATATGTTTCGATGGTCGAACACCACCATGTATTACACCAACTTTAACCTAAATAAGTTACTCTAAATGCAGTCCTGATATGTATTTATTTGAACGCGAAAAAAATCAATATTGTTTTGTCACCTCCTTTTTATATTCATACGATTTTTGTACTTTTTTTCTTTCTTAAACAAACTTTTAATGTTTGTTGTAAGTGTTTAATACAATGGGTGAGGCTAGTAATTGTACTGCGCTTAGTAATGGAAAAAAAAGGTCAACCATATACAGTTATGATTAACAGAACTTACACTTTACCCATCCAATGTGTACAGGGTTAAACATCATCAATGTTAGTGTGTATTTAAAAATATGATGTAAATGGACTGAGTATAATGTCTTTCAGTACACATTTTATTTGAGATTACTAGATGTTTTCCATTTAAATAAACTTTTGTCTGGAGTCCTTCCAGCTCCTTCTCACAGATTTCAGGCAGTAAGAAATAGAGAAGGGATTGTACTCATTTTTTTATATTCATTTGTGTGCTTACTAAATACTGTTTGTATAGTCAGCTCATGGCCAGGATTAAAACATCACTTTGATAATTTATGCTGCACCGAGTCCTGTTCCTTATTAATCCATTAATCCATCATCTCTGGTCAATCATGCCGCTACTCCAAAATATAACTTGGAGGGAAAAAAGCATGCAGTCAATTAAATCTTCTCCTGAGACATCTCTGCTGAGGGGTCAGGATTGACAGAGGGGTTTCATTCCCCCCAACATCTGAAGGTGTGACATGAACTTTCTTCGGGTTCACAGAGGAGAGAACAAAGAGACTTAACACGAGGTGTGACGTCAGGAGGGACAACCCCACTCTCTGATCTGTTTACAAATACAACCCTCCCTCAGTGGCACTTCCCCTCCCCCCTTTGAACTGAATAACCTCGATGTGGGGTTACATACCCATGTCATCATTACCAAGCTTTGTCCCCTTCCCCTTTCAGCCCCAACAAAATCAAAACAAAGTCAGATCTGCCCGGTTACACATGGCAACATCCCGCATCACAAATGTTCTCCAATCCAAAGAAAGACATTAAATCCTTGAAACAGTGCCGTGAATTACTTTCTGAATGTTTACCAAATACTTATCCATTCGTGATGTCGTCAAGTTTTCTAAAACCATTCACAAGCTCACGGCCATGGCTTCTCTGGAGAGACGATCCAAACAAACCCGAGCTGACATTACCTGATGTAGGAGTTCTGGATAAAAGGTCATTGGATTAACTGAATAATGCTTTATTATAAATCACTTTAGATATAATTAACTGATTGTCCAACAGATTGTCAAACAATTAATATTGTCTATCTTTAATAACCAAATGTATGTTTTTATTATTTATTAAATTAAAAGAAGATGCAATTCAGCTTCACACATACAACAATCCTTTATTTGTAAAATATGAATATAAAGTTTATATTTGCAGGAAATGGTATGGCAGCAACTACCAGTTATTTTAAATATCGATTATGCTGATTATTTGAGTGATTAATCATTTGGATTATAAAATGTATATATACAAATATTAAATAGTGAAAGAAAACATCTCAGTTTGTCAAAGTCCAAGGTGGATGTCTACAGAGGTCTTGCTTTGTCCATCCAAAACCCAAAGATATTCAGTTTAATATGATATTAAACAGTTAATAGATTCACAAATGATTGGCGTAAACATTTTTTGATCTATCGACTAATTGATCAGTCGACTACTTGTTGCTGTTGTGAAAGCAAGCACTCATGGGTTTCATAATAAACACAAACAATTTAAATTCAATATTTTGTGATCCGTCTCTAAATGGGTGTTGTGTGTCCATTCCAATAGTGGGGGACTGTTGCCAGGATTTAGTAAGAGGGTACAATCAATTGGCGTCTAAACCTTGAAAGGAAAGTAGGGCAACGTTTTAACTGAGATTAGACAGATGGTGTTCACAGGAGCAGCAGTCACTGTCCCAGCTAAGTGTTAGTGGAGGTTAGTAATCCCTGACCCCTCCCCTTTTCCATACCATGGCCCCAAAACCCCAAATTATTTTTAATTTAGGGGAACGTTTATGTCATGTCATCCCCATATTAATCTAAATGTACAATCTCTGAATATCATGCAGCAGCTGTAGGTGTGACAGACTGCAGAGACACATAGACATCAGCCAACAGAAGATCACCTTGGTGTTGGTGTTTGGAAAATAACTAGAGAAAAGGTGTCAGACCCTCACTCACCATATCAAGATCCCTCTGGGTGGTCATGGCTCGGTGCGGATGAAGGCTGTGGACGAGGATCAGAGAGGACAGGGCTGGTGTGCTTCAGCTGCTGGAGACGGGGCCAGAGCCCTGACACAAACAACACAAACACTGTGAGCTGCACCGCCTGGCACCATCACTGCATATATAATCCATTAGCACCCGAGCTAACATGTCGCAGCCAACATCATAACACTGTCAATCAAACGAGTAACATGCACAAGATTCAACAGCTACCTAAAGTAGGGAGCAAACTGGCTCACTTCCCCGTGATTTAAGCTAATTAAAACAACTAACTGAGCTCGGCAGGCTACAGCAGAGACGAGCTTATCCTCCACACACTTAACGTTAAGCTAGTGGAGCAGGCGGGCTAATGTTTATTATATTAGCCTGATTTACCTAATGATGCAAATCAGCTGGTGTCAAGTAACAAACCAAATGTTGTTGAACATCTTTAAAAATGCATTTAGCCTGAATACACTTACTAGCACCGAGTTGTGTGCTGCTGACTGATGTCGAAACTGGTCGCTGTGAATAGGAAGCCTTATGCTAACATTAGCATTAGCTCCTGTTTTAGTTTATGGCAATCCTGCTATCTCTGGTTAGCCGCGGGCTAACTGGCTAACTAAATGTGCAACGGAGATTTGTGTCCCGTTAAGCTCACCTGCATCTGATGACTGTGATGAAATGTTGCATTCAGTTGAGTTGCCGAATCAGCGGGGAACGCTTTTCGTGGGGAAAATATCGAGTGTAAATGGATATCGTTGACTGAGGTATATCGGTGGCTAATGGACGGGAAGACGCCGGATGTCAGCTGGTTGTAAACACAGTGAACCACCGCTAATACTTCTGGGAGTTGAAGTCCAGAACAGAGATTATCGCCTCAATTCAAAACCTATTAACAGTCAGGGGAAGAGGAAGTACTCAGATCTTGTACTTCAGTAAAAGTAGAACTACCAGTGTAGGAATACTCTGTTACAAGTAAAAGTCCTGCAATCAAAGTGCTACTCAAGTAAAGGTAGAGAAGTATTGGCATCAACATATATTTAAAGTATGCCTACCAAAAGTAAAAGCACTCATTATGCAGATTGGTCTATTTCAGAATAATATATATTATATTTATTGATTATAAATATTGATGCATTCATGTTTTTATCAAAGCTGGTAAAGGTGCAGCTAGTTTTAACCTGTTAAGCCCCCGCAACATCTTGCAAGAAACAGCGTCTGACTGAGGGCTTCTTAACATTTAACAAACTATGAATGTGTCATACCCACTTAACGGGAAGAAACTCAGCTACCTGACGATATGAACCATTTTTACCGAAACAAAACACAAGTCTAACGCCGAGCCTCTGAATTAGCACTAAGCGAAAGAGTGCTAACGCACTTAGCACATAACTCACAGTATAAATATGTTATACTTCATCGGATCTGCACAAACTAGATATCATATGAAAGCTGAGATTCCATAGATTCCACTGGTATAAGTATCATCACTGTGCGACCAAAACTTGTGGCAGTGAAAGCCAGCAAAGACAACACACAACTTCACTGTACGGAGCCAAAACGGCAAATACGTCTTACCTTTGCTGTTTTCTGATCAAAAGTTGTGTTCAAGGGCATTACAACACTGCTGAAGGTTAATCCAATGTCTCTGTGTCACTTTGAAATGATTACTGATATTCCATCATCATATTTATGTCAATAAACTGAGTTTTCATATAGAGTGTATGAGAGCTATAACCCAGCTTCCGGGTTTGGGCGTGCTGGCTGCGCATCACTCTCATCCACCAATGGTAATGTTTAGATGGATTTAGTTAAAAAGAGATGTCAATCATCAAAATCGACCGATGGGTTCCAGAGATATGGCAAATACACCCAAATGTTTTGCATCAATCTTGATACAGGGTACTTATTATATGTTATAGTTTGGATTCCTAAAGCTTTTAGCCTACTATTCCATCATTCGGGTGGTTTTTCACTATAAATAATGTTTTTCTTTTGGACGGAAACTATTATTTGCATTTTCTTTACTATGTTCAATCTGAATTTTCTTTAAAAATAAAAACATCTATATTGATTCTGATTCTTCTACATCCAACTCACAGGTTTGTCATTACTTTGAGAAAAAGATGATTAATTTTTAGAAGTGAAGATATAGTCATTTGTTCTGGGAATGTCATTTTGGAGCCTGAGACCTGAAAAACAGGTTCAGAGCTCAACAGGTTAATGACTTTGTATACTGCAGGGTAGCTTGTGAATCTTACTCCAGGTGTAACTAAAGTCTTATTTAACTGTTTATAATATTTTACATCATTATTCCAAATATGCAAAGTTACTAAAGGTATACAATAAATGTAGTGGAGTAAAGTAAACTTTTTACCTCTGAATTTTAGTGGGGTGGAAGTACAAAGTAGGAAAACATTTAAATACTAAAGTAACCAGTCTTTCAGAATTGTACTTAAGTACAGTACTTGAGTAAATGTATTTAGTTACTTTACACCACTGTAAACAGTCTATGTTAAGAACGTTACAGCAAGCCCTCTTCTGCTTGATATCGTGCATAAACTGTGAAACGTGATTATGAATTTGGTGCATTCCTTTTTTGTTAGCTACAATTATCTACAGTCTGTTCAGTGCATTTTCAAGGTGAATCTTATTCACAATGATGCAGATTTTAGATGATGTGTTTAACTGTTCAGTGTTAGGGCCTCTAAACTAAAAGAGATTAGATCAACATATTAACTGAAGATTGCAATATTTTCAGGGTCATGAGGAACTTGGTGGACACTAACTCTTTGAATCGCTCAGTACCAAAACGTTTAGCCACAAAAACAATTCCTTCCCATCAACGACTGGACTGCTGAACAAGGCCTGGGACCCTCACAGACACGTAACCCCTCCCATGTACAGTATGCACATGAACCTACTCATGTGAGCCAGCCCTCATATTCCATACTGTAAACCTTCTCTGAATATTTAGCAAAAGAGTAAAATAATAGACTAAATTGTCATTTTGTTATTGTACTTTTTTGTATATTTGAATTTATTGTAAACATTTATTTTTGCATATCTTCTAATTGTATCATGGTTTTTAAAACTTTTAAAATAGTGATATGCCTGTTTCTGTTTCCTTTCTTTTTACAACTTAATTCCTATTATTTTTTGTTTATGTATGCACCATTATACACCAAAGCAAATTCCTTGTACGTGTAATCCTACTTACCAATAAACCTGTTTCTGATTCTGAAGTCAAGGAGGCTATCTTCAACAAATGGCACGGACTGAGACACATGTCCTGCTGGTATAACTACTGTATACTGATTATCATTACTTTGTGGTGGGTTACAAAAAAAGCATTTTACATTCAACCAATGAAATGTTACTAGATATATGTACCAAATGACTGTACCACCATATTTACATACTTTAACTTGATTCTTTTTATTTTTCCACTACATTTCAGAGATACATATTGTACTTTGTTATTCAACTACATTTATCTGACAGCTTTTGTTACTTTTTTACATCCAAATAAACGCTTATTTCATATGATGCATGTTATAATACTATAATCTACCCAATAGTATAGATCTATAACTGTTACCTTTTGTGATAAAAACTGAAAATACAATCTTCTAAAATAATACAACAATAAAAAAGGATTCATTCTGCATAATAAATACTTTTACTTTAAAAGCTTTGCGAGCATGTTGATGCTTATACTTGTAATTAAGTGTTGGAAACTCTGGTATTGGATGTGAGTAATTCTACATGTTATTCAACCATTAAGAAGTGTCATTACATTAAATCATTTACAATGATATCATAAAAGAAGAAACAATGCACACAACTGTACAGATGGCTGATTGTTAAACTATAAACTGTATCATTTGGATTTAAAGCAGAGATAAGATTGTGAAATTGTGAAAGAAGAATCACATCTGGCAGGTAAGCCACCTGCAGCAGTCCCGCATTTCTTGCCTTTATATTAAATAGTTTTACTTATTTGATTCATTATTCAAAATCATATTTGATTCATAATTTAAAGTAGGAATTTCAACACTAAGTTTAAATTACATTTAAGGAGGTTCCTGCATTTTTTTATACCAATCTTCTGGGTAGAGGTTCTATCAAAATGTAGTTAAAAGTCCTTTATCATTTTTTTCCACTTCTGATCTACTTGAAAGCGTTGTTGGCTAATGTGTCTTTTTATTACTGCAAGTGCTTGTGAGCCAGAGTATCAAACATCGAACAGGCTCAGGATATTCACGAGGCAAGATTTCTTAAAACTGTGGAATCTATTTGTTTAAAAGACAACCCTCCTTCTATATTTCACAAAAGTACTAATTTTACCACTTTTGAAAATCAAAAATTTCTAAAATTATTGTTAGGAATTTACTAAAGTTTTAGAGTAGACCCCGACGTTTTCATTGGTGTTGTTCAATGTAGGTTTTTTTTGTTAATTGAAATAGATTTACAATTTTATAAAGAAAGATATGCACCATCCAGTATTATTATATATTATTTGTATCATTTGTATTATTGTTAAAATATTATTTTCTGAACACAAGATAAATTAAAATGATCAAGAGGGATAAATATAGTAATAAGTATAATAAAATTAAATATGTTCAAGAAACATATATGAAAATACAACCAATATATACAAGAAATGGGAATCGGAATAAAACATGTAAAAAAACATTGTTTTGTAGTTTTTGTTGTTGTATTTGATTAGTATCAGTACTCTAAACATCGGTAATACCTTAACTGACCGAAGTGTTCCTGGGACTTAGCACACTTAACAGACTGTTACATAATGTAGTGTTAGAGCAGGTACATGTTGCCTCATTCAGCTGCTGTTTACGCCTGTGCTGCTGTCACATGTTTGACTCCTTTTCCCAGAAACCCCCTGTGCGCAGGCGCAGAACGCTTCGCCTGACAGTGGTAAACAGACGTCAGAAGGGAGTCTTCGCCTCGAGTCAAAACAAAACAAAACAACTCAAAAAGAGACTGAAGGAGTGAATATTTGGACAGCCACGACGACAGGAAGTTTTAAAAAACTCATCGCGGATTAAAATCGGCCACTTGGTGGAAGTTATCGGGAGCTTTTCACGGATTGTAAACTCTGGAGTACAGCAGGAGCTTAAGCAGCTAGCGTTACGGAGGCTATCGTGCTGTTTTCAAAGTGCGGCGGGTTGGATTCGACACACCGCCGAGGACACACAACTTCACCCAACACCCAGGAATCCGCTTTCTAGTTTGTTCTCCGGGACTTGGTGGCGGATCGACCGAGCTCCGGGCCTCGCTGAGAGGGTTTTATAGCCGCTTCTTCGAGCATCGTGTGCGGCGGCGCGGCAGCAGAAACATGGCAGATGGTGACATGCGCCTGGCCGCAATGTGGCGGATCGTACAGACCTGAAGCACGGACTTTACTCACCAACATTTCTCTCATCTTTCCACTTTTATTAACTTTATAAACACCATTTGTCACTGACCTAAATCCCTTCCCTTTTCCCCCGCTCTAAATTTTTCTGGTTTTTAGTTTTAGCGGCTTTTACTTACAGGCCGAGGAGCTGGAGGCTGCTTTTTAAACACTTTTTTTTACAGTTGCAAACAAACTGTTGTTAGGATGATCAGTCGTTTTTAGTTTTTACACTTAACTTTGATTTTACCGGACTGTTTTTTTTTTGCGTTGTTTATTTATTTGAAGTTTGTTTGGATGTTTTTGTTGCCTTGTGTAGATCACAGACATCACGTTGTTTACAAGTGGAGACGGACAGGGGCTCCTGAGAAGATCCTTTGTAATGCCTGTTTGTAGTCTCATAGCTTTACAGTAAAACATATAAACCCTGCCTGTTTTGAATAAGACAATTTAAATATAAAATGATACATTTTGTACGAAATATTTCTTAATTTTGTATTTATTCAAAACATATTGTTTTTAGTTAGTTTAGCATTGCTAATTATATTTTTCACAACATTTACCATTTAAAAAAATGGTTAAATAACAGGAATGGCATTATTTTGTATCCTTATACCTTTAACATTTTGGTATTCATTTGCAGGGGAACCAAAACCTCTGTAGAACCAGATGATTTGGTGCTCACTCTGCCACTTTTGTTTTTATTTCATTCAAACAAAGGGACTCTCATCCCGGCCCTCCTTTATTCTATATAATCGGAAGGTTTATGATAGTTACTATTAAAGAGATTATTTGGGTTCCCTAATCTCCAATCTGAGGATTAACCGAGGCTATTGGTGTGCCCAGATTATTCAGTCTCCTCTCCAGGCCCCACAGTCTCTGGAGCATATTGTTTTTGTGTCAGGAAGTGTTTTTTTTTTTACTCATCATGCACTTAAAGTTTACCTTAACTGTTTAGAGTAGATGTTTTAAGTCGTGACATATTTTTTTGGTTGAGTGTAAATTCAGAGGACCACCATGGAGGACTCTTCGGTGCCACCGATTGACCCAGATTTTGAGCCGCAAAGCAGGCCCCGCTCCTGCACATGGCCCCTGCCCAGACCCGACATCTCGGCTGTCAAACCGGAGGGGGCGGATGGCTCCGAGTCCTCCGCCGGGACCCCGCCCGGGGATGAGGACAAGCCCGAGCCTCAGCAAATCACGTCCGAGCCCGAGAAGGCTTTGGAGGGGGCGGGGGCGGAGGGAGGGGCCGCGGCCGGCGGGGGAGGAGCGACGCCCCGCAAAGGGTCCTCCCGCCGCAACGCGTGGGGAAACCAGAGCTACGCAGACCTGATCAGCCAGGCCATCGAGAACTCACCTGAGAAGAGGCTGACCCTGGCTCAGGTCTACGAGTGGATGGTGAAGACAGTGCCTTACTTCAGAGACAAAGGAGACAGCAACAGCTCGGCTGGCTGGAAGGTGAGCATGTGGGAGGTGGACATGTATACTGCATCACTTTACAAGGTGGACTGTAGAGCTTTATGTGGCACAAGTTATATATTTATAGCTTTACAATTCATGTTGCACCATAGAAACACTGGTATGCAGATAACCATCATATTACTTGGGCTGGGCAATATGGAAAACAATTTACGGCAAATGGCGGAACATAATTTAATATAATTATAATTTTTTTTATATGTATGAAAATACCCTCTTTCAAAAAAAGTGTAAAACTTTATTTCTTTAGGTATTATATTTTGTCTTTAATGGATGTCTTTAATTATCTCCACTGCACAGTGTTTCCCACAGAATTTGATTCTATTTGTGGGGGCACAAATAGTTCTGACTAATAACCCCTTGAAACAAAGCAATCAAAAAACGAAAACATGTTTAATGAAAGAAAGCCCACTGTGCATAATTTTTCATATTATTTCATGTTCTCTATCTCCTGTTTTAGAATTCAATTCGCCACAATTTATCACTCCACAACAAGTTCTTGAGGGTACACAATGAATCAACAGGAAAGAGCTCCTGGTGGATGCTCAACCCAGAAGGAGGGAAGACGGGGAAAGCCCCCCGCCGCCGCGCCGCCTCCATGGACAACAGCAGCAAACTGCTGAAGAGCCGCATGAGGGCAAAGCAGACCAAGAAGCAGGCGGGAGCCGCCGGGCTGGGGGGGGCAGGAGGGGGGCTGCAGGGCGACGGCAGCACAGGCTCCGGGGGCGCAGACAGCCCCAACTCATCCCAGCAGTTTCCCAAATGGGGGGTGAACAGCGGCAGCCCCTCGTCCCGCGGCAGCCTGGACGACTCTGACATGTGGACCACCTTCCGCCCGCGCACCAGCTCCAACGCCAGCACCCTGAGTGGGCGTCTGTCCCCCATTGCTCCGGGACACGAGGACGACGACAACCTGCCGGAGGACAGCCTGCTGGGCCGATACAGCTCCAGCAGCCTGACCCCCACCCTCACTGAGACCCTCATGGAAGAGCTGGATCTGATCGACGGCCTCACATTGATGACCGGGCAGCAGGGAGGGGCCAGTCCCAGCACAGCCCCCCCGGCCCCTCCCACCCCACTGCCCTCCGCCTCCACCCTGCTGCCCCGCGGCTCCAGCTTCTCCTCCTTCAACCAGTTGCAGCAGTCCAGCCTCCCGCCGCCCCCCCCCCCTCACAGTGGGACCCAGGCCTCTCAGTGTGGCAGCAAAGAGCCGTCATCCTTCAGCAACTCCCTCTTCAACCCCATGTCCAGCTCCGGCTCTCGTGGGGGCGGCCATTACACCAGCCATGTGCCTTCCAGCCTGGAGGCGCTGCTCACCTCCGACTCCCCCCCCCCCAGTGACGTGATGATGACCCAGGTGGACCCCCTGATGCAGAGTCCTGGAGGCATGATGGGCCTGGGCTCATCCGTGGTGGGCGTGAGGTCCAAACCCAACCAGCTGCTGTTGGGGAAAGGGCTGGAGCCCAACACGGTGGCCCCCATGGCGCTTCAGCAGATGCAGCAGCGCCACCTCCACCTCCAGCAGCAGCAGCAACAACAACAACAACAACAACACCACTCACAGATGGGGTTGGGGATGATCCTCTCAGGTATGTCTCAGGACCCGTCACAGCTCTCCGCCCTCAAAGCCCAGCACACAGCCCTGCCAGCGGGGGGCTCTCACCCCGGGGCGGCCCACCCTGGCTCCAGCCTGCTGGGGATGGCTCAGTTGGGTCAGTTTGGAGCTCCGTCCTGCTTCCAGCCCGGGCAGGACCGGCTGCCCACAGACTTGGACATTGACATGTTCACCGAGAACCTGGATTGTGACGTGGACTACATCATCAACAGTGACCTCATGGACGGGGACGTCCTTGACTTCAACTTTGACCCCATCCTGCCTGGAGGCCAGGGCTACGCCGGCCCCGCCTCCACACAGGGCTCCGCTCACAGCTGGGTGCCGAGCTAAGTCCTCCGCTGTCCAGTCAGCCAGGTACGCTCATCACTCTTCCTCTATCAGTTAAACTATTGGTGAATGGGGCTGCAATTTGCAATTTTGCAATTTTTATTATCGATTATTATTTTCTAGATCAGTCAATTCATTGTTCGGGTTATACAATTACAGAAAATAGTGTCCATACCAGTTTCTCAATTTCTAATTATATGTTTTCAGTTTAATATGATATAAAAGTGTGAAATCTCCATATTTAAAACACCTTAACCCTTAATTGGTTATCAAAACAGTTAGAGATGACTTTGTCCTCAATCGACTAACTGAGTATTCAACTGATTGTTGCAGCCCTATTCTACACCTTAGGAGGTTCACTTTTTAACCTGTATCACTGTAAATTGAATAAGTTTGGTCTTTGGACGGTTTGTGGCATGAAACAAGACATTTATGTCTAAATGATGAGCATTTCAACACCATGTTGAGCAGTACACATGGATTACATTTACAGTGATTGAGCTGATATGACTTTAAGTACATCATAAGGATTTATTACGATATATCATCACGAAAGACCGTTTTATCCTTTTGTCTTGCAGGAACTAATCTCCAATCAATGAAACCTCAAAATCGTTCAAAACAACCGGTGCATTCCTCCTCCCTGCTGGCTGGATTTTAAAACTAGATGCTTCACTCGGACGTAAAAGACAGAGCCTCTCCCATGTCATGTGCCAAGACATGCGGAGGACAGGGAGGAGCGTCATGCTACTATGCACAATATTTCTCCCTTTTTTCAAAAAACAAACACTTGCAACGATTTGGCTGCTAGCCGATTAACTTTTTTTCTTCTAACCAGAACTGATGTTTTTTAAAAGACGTGTGACTTGGTGTTTTAAAGAGTGAAAAGACAAATCATAATCTCCCCTCTGCTGGGGGTTTATACTTCAGTTTTTGTCACACCAGAATAGCTTTTGGGTGGATACGGTACGGGACTACTTTGGTATTGAAGACTCAATAGACTGTTTTTTTTGGAGAAATGGCCAGTTGTCCATACTACACGAGCACGAACTGCCAGACCAAATGCTGTCGGAGGAAAAAGCCTCCTCACAGGATTGTGTTGCGAACAGACGGAAGATAAAAGACTGGGCGACTGGAGGTATAACATGTTTTATTTGACATCTCGCCCAATTGTATACTACAATTATGTGTACGGTTTAAATTTCTCACTATAGAGAAAGAAGATGCATTTTTTTTTTCTCCAATGGAATTTGGTGATGAACAGTTAAGAGGGTCTGTATTTTCAGTTTGGCTATTTTGACTTCAATCCGGTGTGTTGCGGTAGATGTCAGTTAGAGGGTGTGTTTTGTTTTTTTATCCCTGATGTGCAGTTAAACTAACAAAATGAAGAAATGTGATTTTTGAATTTATACACGGGGCATTCAAGGGTACATTTATTTGCCAACAAGTGATTGGTTGGCCAAGTATTATATTGTTTCAGACAGCAGTATGCCACCGCTGTCAGACATCTACTTGACTATTATCTCCTCTTTTTGTTTTCATCGAACCTGTGCATTTTCATAGCACTTAGGTTTCCTGCGAACCAGGAACCCCAAACTAGTAGACACATTAGGTTATAACATTTCATCAAATGAGTTTAAATCCTGTAAAAAATAAATAAAAGTATATGTTGCACATGTACACGATGAGACGCTATGCAGATTTCTGGAGAGAACTAAATGAAATCTTGAAGGAAATTTAAAAAAAATCACTTCTTGAAGGTTTTTTTGTTTAACATTTTCCTGAAATGTTGAGACTTTAATTTTTCAAGAAATGAATTCTCTGTGTGAGAAGTACACAAAAAGAATATATTTGATTATAGTTTTAATATACAATTTAGACGAGGTAATAAATGAGATATTAATACATATGAATATATTACTAATGACAAGTGATGTTTTTTTACATTGGAGGAAGCATTCTCAGATAATTTGTAACGGTAATTTTCTATACTTTTATTTTTGTAAAGAATGAGATGCATGTAGATTTTTTTACATAACCAAAGGAACACTAATATTTGCATGGCATGTAGGGCCAGCTTGGGCCTGACGCAGTATCTTGTGTACATAAGCTTTGCAGAAGATGCCTGTAACATAAGAATCTGACTTGTAGAGTGAGGCAACGTGCATCGATACTTGACCATTTAAATTCCCAATGATCTGCCTCTTTGTTTTCTGCATTAATCGTGAATCCAAAAGAGAAACAGTCCCACTTTCAACATGTCACCGGATTCTCATCTCAAAACGAGACTGATACAACCGTTACCTCTCAGGGTCGCTCACAAGAAACACAGGAAAACAACTTTATGATCACTGAATATATAGATTATTTTTTCTTTATGATCACGTGACCATAAAGCAAAAATAATCTATATATTTTACCCATTTGTCTCTGGACTGGAAACCTTCACGTCTTTGTTTTCCTGGAGGATCTTCTGTCTTAAAAAGAGTTGACTTTAAATTTGACTTCCCTTTTTTTATATCAGTGGTAGCCGATCCCTTGGGTTTCCTTTTTTTTTTACTGCCAATATTTAAAACACTATAGCATGACTTTACTCAGTAGCAAGATGGACTTTATTTGTCCTCTTCCCCCCGTACATTTTGTGCTTGTATTTAAATACTTTTGTTCATAATTGTAATCAGAAATAACATCCCTGCAGTTTGAACTCTCATCATTTCACTGCAGGTATGTTAGCCTCTGATTTGTACAAAGCACTCTTTTTTTTTGTTCCAGTTTTTTTTCAAACATTATGAACGGTGCTAGATGTAATTTGTGACGTATCCTGCAGTACGTCATGATGCAATGGGTGCATATCAGGGCCTTTTGAATTCTCTGTACACAGCTCAAGGATCTGGATGAGGTGTTAGGTTAGAAGTTAGCACACGATCAAAAGTCCTTCCCCTTCCTCGTTGTTTATGTTTTTATATATAAATATGATAACCCCTTTCTCCAAACTGGTCATTCATTAGATCTGGAAACAGGAGACCAGCTTGTTCAAAGTGCATGATTTTCTTCTAAATCATAACATGTAATCATTTTTAGAAAGTTGTCTATGCAACAATTTTGCCCCCTATTTTGAATTAATGTCCATGTGTTGGAAATGTTATTAACATTTAAAGGACAGACTGCAGCATGTAAAGGAGCGGTGGTTGGTTTGATGTCTCTAGTTTACGGTTGCCTCGTTTAATTTTTTTTTAAAAAGGGCAGGTGTGGTGTTATTACTCCCCTTGTATCTCCCCCTCTATGTAATAATTATCTACATATTTTGTTCTTCAGTTTTTTAAGTAGCAGTTAGTCCCTTAATGTTTGTTTTGAACTGTTAAAATTGCCCCTATTTTACTCAGTATTTTAGTATGCGGCAAGGGTTTTTCTTTCATAAGGGGAGGGTGGGGTGGACATGGAATGATGAGTTGTGCATAAGCCAATTATGTTTATGATTTTTGATTAATGTTGATAGTGTTAACCCCCCCTACCTCTTTATCTTTCTTTACACATTGTAAAGTCAGCCAGAGATGACAGTCAGTTCTGAAAAGCAGAAATAAATTCAATAAACTGTTTAACCCACTGTCTGTGTCTTTGGTTTCAAAGTGATTCACTCTTTGTTTCATTGAAGTCAGACTGTGTTCAGTTCAGCCGCCAGGGGGCGCTGCTGTCACACAGCTACTGTAACTGTCAGATAAACAGTAAATATAATGTGTATATATAAGGCTGGTTAATAAAAGCAGGGATTGAGGACTTTTTGAGAAATTACGTAAAATATTCTGTTACAAGTCAAATGTTCTGCTTTGAAAAAGGGTACTTAAGTACATTTAGTATTTAATCAGGAAAATGTATAATTAAAAAAATCATTTGATTTTATAAAATGTTGGGTTGTTACACTTATAACAAAACATTTAAATTATAAACTTGTTTTTTAGTGTGTGAAGAAACTATAAAACTGAAGTGAGGTAAGTACAACATTCCCGCTGAATTGTAATTAATCAGAAAGATTACCCGGAGCGAGGACCCACACAGTGACGTCACCATTTGGGACTCCCCTAATGGCGGCGGCCTGGTCCCGGAATTCCCCACCCGGCCGGCGGATAATGAATTTTCTTTTGGCGAGTAATATCATATACAATAAATATTACGATCAATATCCATTGTAAAATGAATAAACTACCGGAATATTATAGCTGTAATTGGTGTTTCCTTTCCCCTTTAAAGGACAGTACAAATACTTAACTCTCCATCATATCTTCTTGGTCATATATCAGGAGAGTAAATATATTCATGATATTGGAAAAAGTAGTTTAAGCAGAAAAGCAAGTACTTTTCCGTCTTATTTCCTTTGCTTTTAATTCAACCTCACAGGCGATCAGCAGACGGTGGTGGAAAGATTTAGAAAACAATACATGGAACTTAAATGAAATGGTTTAAAAGTCGGACTTGTAGAGAGTAAGTGAGAAACAAAAGGATTGCTCGATATGATTTGGTTACAGTTTAAGGTTTGTGTGATTTACCACATTATGAAAAACATTGAGGTTTCCTGGGGATGAAAGTAAAACAGGAGACAGGATTTATTTTCATAGAGCATCTTTATAGAAAACATTTCTTCACATTTTCAAAAAACAGTTTTGCTTTTTCACTTGTTCTCTTTTTTTTAAAGAAGTTTCTTGTTTTTTTAAAGAGAATTATCCTTTATTTTTATCTGCTCAAGTTGAACATGTTTAACATCCATCTGTGTCAAGGCTCTTTGCCGAGTTGCTGGGGTTCCCAGGTGTCTGATAGAGGACACACACTGACAAACGCCAAGAAAAAACTTCTTTTTTTCCCAACTTGTTAAACCCGTGTTTGAAAAGGTTTCCCAGCTGCCACCAGAGCCCACATCCAGCCTCCAGTAGTCACCTCCCTCCACTTCAGCAGCATCCAGCTGTATTCTGAAGGCACCTGTGTTATCAGCGCTTTGCTTGACATGCTCGATATGCACTTGTTTATTTTCTACATCTTGCAGCTACTAATTCTAAAGTCTGTCAAAACTCTACGTCTACCTGAGCTACAGCACAACAAGCAAGTCCTACCGTCAAACCCAGAAACAAAAACTATAAAAATAAAAAAAAGACAGAAAACAAGATACACGCGTTTCAACGAATAGTTTGCACATTGTTCTGCTTTGCAAATTGTACCGTGGATTTCTATAATCAGCTTTGCTACAGCTCACAAGAAAAGCTTAGACACAGCTTTGAGCAGAACGTCTGAACTCATGACCAGTGCAGATCGACTGGGAATTTTGCATCCATCCAATCCTTCAATTTGCTTCTTTAATGACCTTTGGTCTGAAATTCCCCGGGCGCCGTACATAATGGCAGCCCACTGCTCCTAACACTAGGATGGGTCAAATGCAGAGAAACTGTTTCGTCACATAGTACCTGTACTACGTAATGACAATAAGTTGAATCATCTTCTTCTTCAATCTTCAAATTCAGTCTCTGATTTGATCACTTCTGAAGCGCAAAAAACAATCATTTAGCGAATGGCTCAGCTTAATCCTCAATGACTTCCTAAGTTTAGTTACACGTTTTCTTATCAGGCGTAAATTATGTCTTGAAAACATTATTATCTTCAAAATCCTTCTGTGTGTCAGCACTGACCTGAACGTAACAAGTAGAGCAATAATTCACTGTAATCTGGGGTTGAGAACAAAAGCTAATTTGAAAGTTACACGACAAACAGTCTCAAATATTTTTTTCACACGTCATACAGTCGAGAAGAAAGGCGTCGGACACCGACACCGTGCGTCTCAATGTCTACTATTGAGTTACCTTGCATTATAAATATATAAAGTTTAAAAAAGTGCTTATTAAAAGAAACTATAGTGATGTGATAACTTCCAGCAGTGTCACTGTGGTGTTTGTTCTTGACCAGCATTAATACGAAATGTTAGGGAGGGCGAAACGGTCGTCCTTCACGGTCCACTCACTGTCCTCCTCCAACACTGACGAGGATTGTCAACAAAAATAACCTGGTCTCCCGTTAACATTCAACGTGTACAAAACGATATTTTTTGGGGAAAGCATAGTTAATACAAAAGGAGACCGATCAAACTAAGGAGAGTGTTGGCCGCTGTAACACTGCTACTACCGAGCAGCTTCGTACAGAATGAACACAAAACAAAAAAGGTACACATTGAAACATCTCTAGGAATAATTGCACATAACGTTTGAGAGCCGAGATGTCTGATGAGAGGACTTCACAACAGGAGAATCTGCATGAGGAGGGGGCGTGGCACACTATGGTATAAATACATTACATCTGAGAAAAAGAAAAGCACATTCATGAGGCACAGCTACAAAACCATGAGCTCTGTGTCCCTAAAAGTGTCCCTCTCGTCCCACCGTCTGCTGTTGAGATGTCTTCATCCTCGCGTCTCTCTGTACCGGCGGAGAGTTATTTCACTCGGTGCCTCTCCGAGCGCTCATGCGATCATGTACTGAGTGATGGCTCTCAGCGCGTAGAGCAGCTCCGCCTGCAGCCGGGCCTCCATGATGAGCAGGTTCACGTGTATCTGAGGGGAGGGGAGGACATGGGGTTCACTCAGAGCGCCTCACAGGGTTCAGAGTAAACAATGAGGATTAGGACGGCACCAAATAGATAGAAGCCTAGTTCCTGATATTGATATTCTGATTGAAAAGCTTTGCCGATTTGTTTTCTTTTTAACGTTTAGTCGTCCTGTTTAATAGCCAGTATTTCTGTACAGTTGCAGACACAGAAAAGACTACACTATTATTATTAATGTAATACTATGATTATAATTACATTCGAGTGGTGGCTGTGTATGATTTCCCCATCATTCCACAATCCAAACATTCACAATAACCTCAAAAATTCAAAAACTATTGAAAAAAGAGATACGTTTGTGCACAGATGGAAGGCTGACAGGCAGGTAGGCCATCCAGTTATTTTAGCCGGGCCGGCTCAGATGATTGGTCGTGCTTTTTACAGTACTACGGCTTCCACAGATGGATTTATTGTCAAAGCATTTAAGATATTCATTGCTATCGGGATGTTAAGAGCATTCCATGGAATATAACAAAAAGTGTTTCTGAAGCGAATTACCTACCCCACCTTTAAGCCTTTCAAAAAATAACATTTTCATTGCATTCAAAAAACCTGTTAGCTCTCCCCAGTGGCGGTTCTACAACATTTTACATGGGGTGGCAAAGGGGGGGCAAGAGGTCATGCCAGGGTGGCATGGGAGGGCGGGCAGTATGTGGTATTTTATACTGTATATATAACCTATTTATTGTTAAATCATGCCCTAACACAAGTGTTCTTAATTCACAAGAGAAACAAGGTGTTCAGACAAACAAACTAAAATATAGTACAGTTCAATACTCATGATACCCTAGAATTCTGTTTACCGTAAGTACAGTAAAAGTACTTAGTTATAAATAAGTACACAAATAACATCACCCATCTCTTAAGAGAGCTAAAGGTGACCGGTGCAGAAACATGTGTCAATACTAAGAGCTGCTAGATTGTGTTGCTGTGATGGAATATGTAAGGAGAATAAAAACATATCATGTGGTCCAGCTGGAGTTTCATCTGCCTCCTGATCCCTGCCTCTGTCCCTCTTTCTGACACTTCATCTTTATTCCTCACATAAATGTCTTCTTCTTCACTAATGTCTTCATCTCCTCCTCTTCCTCCTGCTCTGACCCTCCTGGTCTCTTCATCTCGTCCTCTTCCTCCTGCTCTGACCCTCCTGGTCTCTTCATCTCCTCCTCTTCCTCCTGCTCTGACCCTCCTGGTCTCTTCATCTCCTCCTCTTCCTCCTGCTCTGACCCTCCTGGTCTCTTCATCTCCTCCTCTTCCTCCTGCTCTGAGCCTCCTGGTCTCTTCATCTCCTCCTCTTCCTCCTGCTCTGACCCTCCTGGTCTCTTCATCTCTCTTTTCCTTTTCCTCTTTCTGTTCATCCTGATCACTTCTCAGATATGTCTTTGTGTTGTTTGTTGACTCACTCCAGCTACTCTGGCCTGCAAGAGTCTACTTGTGAAAAGCATTGGTACAAATGCTTGTATAACTTTACACGTTAGGGCCATGTAGCTAATAAGTAGCCTATAATAAATATAACATCAGAAAGTATTTATCAAACGCACACAGGCAGCTGTGTTGAGATCCAGTTTGACGGTAAAGGATATATCCTGGTTTAATTTATCTGGCCTCATTGCTGTGATGTGTAATTTACGTGGATTTAATAGTACCGCATAGTTTAGCAAATAAAGTGATCGATCTCCCAGCTAGCGCTGTCTGCGTAGTATTTTGTAACGTAACGTCCCAAACAGCGACCGTCTGTTAAACGCTATCGATTCAAACTGCAGCGTTTTATAAAAAAATATATGTCAATGTCAATCTCTGATCTTTAGTAAAAACAAAACTAGTGGAAGGGGAAATGCTCCCAGGGGAATGTGATCCACCTTCAGGTGCGGGGACAGCTCGCTCCCTCTCTGCAGCGGTGCGAGCCGCTGTCCCTGTGAACCCCGCTCCGCAGTTTAATGCAGGGCCGTAGCTGCGTTTTTAACGGGCCTAAGATGATATTTTAAATGATTCTGTTTTAATTAATGCACTGCTTGTTTCGTTGCTTGAGAAGCTTGTGGACATAGTGTAGGTTTGTTTCTACAAGTACAGTTTTAGGGACACAAAAGTTAGGGGGGAAGCTGGGGGGGCAAGGCTCTACAGTTGCCCCCCCGTAGATCCGCCCCTGGCTCTCCCTCAGTTAAAAGTTATATTCATAAAAGAAAGTGAAGGAAAGAAAGAAATTCACTCTCGAATTCTGATAAATCACTATTTAAATTAAGGATTTTGTATGTGGATTTTTTTTTAATGTACTTCTAGAGTAGTGACGTCACAAACAAAACAACATACACATAATGCTTAAATAAAACACCTCTATGGAGGCTTCAAATGTAGCAAAGATAGTCGGTACAGCTGTGTTAAAGGGGCTCTTACCTGCTCTGAAGGTTTGAGCGGAGCCAGACTGAGCGGACACACTGGAGTTTTGGTGGCGTCTGGAAAGCAGGCCACAGACTTGATGTACAGCTTCAGATCCCGCTCCAGCAACTGGTTCACTTCTCCATAATCATAATCATCGTACCTGTAACCACAAACAAACATTCATTTAATCTACTAAACACAAAAGGAAAACAGGGCTTTAGTTCGAGTCTCAAAGGGTGTTTGTGTCTCACCGTATTCCTAACACGCAGTGGATGTAGTTCCAGATGGCCCTCTTCAGGTCGGGGCTGTGCATCGAGGGGAGGGTCGTCACGCTCCTGAATCTGTCGTCCAAGAGGTGGCCGATGTCCGAGTACAACCTGTTGACTAAGGAGAAGCCGTGGTCCTCCCATGAATAGTCCTGCAGAGAAAACAACACATCAAGTCAGCAAGGTGGCGATGTTAGTTAAAGATCATCAAATATTAAAGTGCGGCAGTGGTTCCCAACCCACGTCCTTTTGTAAGCAGTTCAAATAAGACGGTTGTTTTTATTTGAATAATTTAAGAAGCCTTAAAGAGGTGAGATGTGATTTAACAAAGATGGAACAAATCCCAAAGGTAAAAGGAAAAAACAACATCATTTTGTAAGGCCATTTTTTCTCTGCTTCTCCAATAGTCTAAATCATTTTGTGATTTTGTTCCTAAAGAACCATAAAGTATGGCATCAGGATCTCAATGGGGTCTGTGGGACGAAGTCATGTGTAAAAGAAATGGAAGGTATTTTCTGACGCCGTGGGATAACGAGCCCTAACACCCACTGTGACAGATGTCCGATCCTCACCTGAACTCTAAATACTTGAAAGTGGTCCTCCTCTCTGCGAGCAAACTCCTGGTAGCATAAGTCGGGGTCTGTGATGAAACGTGTGGGGTCTGCAAAGCATATCATCTCCTCCTCTTCTTCCATATCTAAAAAAAGAGACGATGAAAGTAACAGCGATGGAGGGGAGGCAGAGGGAGTGCGTCAATAAATGTAGATTGCTCGAGTTTCACACCATGTGACCTCAAATGTAGCGCTCGAGATAACCATCAGAAGTGAGGGGGAACATCTGAGCGGGGGTTTCTTGCCTGTGTGTTTCTGTTGGTTACCTGTTTGCTGGAGTCCTTGTGTCTGCAGCAGCCGCTCTTCTCTCTTCTCTCGCTCCTCCTGAGACTTCTGAATCTTCTCCTTCAGACACACCATGTCACAGCTGGAGTCCAGAGACTGTCCACACAAACACAGATAAGGTTTAATAAACCTTTAAGCATTTTTACAGGAAGGAACAGACACCAGGCTGAACAATGAACAACCCAATATTACATTATAGATTCAGATGCATCTGTCATTTACACAAAGAGCTCTGTGATGCTGTATCAGATTAAAACCCTACTGTACACTTTTGTAATTATAAAAGTATATTTTATTCATGTTTGCAAGTGGAATATTTGTGTGAAACAGTCTACTTTGTTCTGCAATTATCAGTGATTTTCATTTGAAGAGAATACAGGTCTGATTTGTTACCCGTCTTCTCGTTATGTGTTCAGAGGGAGTGGCGAGCGTCTGAGGCACGTTGGCGTTGCCGTTGGCAGCATCGAAGGGGCAGAAGGTGGGCGGGGTGCCGTTAGGAGACTTGGAGAGAGAGGCAGGGTCTGAGTCTGTGTCACATCCAAACACAAAGCTGCAGAGGGAGTGGCAGTGAGCGAGGATCACCACGGCCTGCACCAGCTCCGCCAGAGACCAGCACTGCTCGCCCGCCTTCAGCAGCGCCTGACAGACAGAGCTCAGGGTCAGACACCTTTTAGAGTTCTTTATACTCGTTAGTGTGCATCTGAGCAGGGTGATTGATTAGTGTAAACAGAAACTGAAATGAGCGGTGAAAATATCTTAACTCAATGAAAATATATTGTCTGGTTATTTAAAAAAAAAAAAAAAAAAGTGCAAAGAGAATGAAAATAATTTATTTTAGTTTAAGTTTTCTATTAAATATCAATTCCTAAAAAAGAAGACGTGACACTCCAGCAGAGGGCACTGTGCTTCACAATTAAAACCTTTCACACACAGTCTGGATTTGTAGAATTTGATTACAAGAAAATGATTTGAAGAAGTGTAATAAACAAACTGCTGTCAAACGTGTATAAAGACTAAAACTAGCAAACGCATACTGAAAACTTTAATTCATAGGTTTATAACCTTGACCCTGAGAGCTCACTTCTGTATTGTGTATTCTGTAAGTTGTAATGAGTAATCATTTGATACTTTCTTGTTACGCTTTATTTAAAAAATGATTGTCTACGTTTTGCTGTGCTGTACCTGGATGTGTGAGCAGGCAGTGAGCCAGGGTTGGTGGGCCAGCACTTTGTTGATGTGGTCAAGCAGACGAAGGCGAGGGGGGGCTGCCTCCAAACCCTGCAGCCACACAGGGTCCCCGCCCACCCTCAGGAACTGGGCTGAGTGCAGGTACACCAGGTAGTTGCAGTGATGTCGCGCTGCAGCCTGAAGGGCAAGGTAAGAAGAAGTTCAGACATTTCTCAAACGAGCGTGTTATTCTTTCATTTTGAATAATACTTCTATGATCCCTGCTGGAGAACAGCTTCCAAATCGATTATCGGTTTGTTTACAGTACAATGGCGAGATCCTGGGTTTGTATCAACGAGATGAGAAAGGCCACTGACCATGATGGCGATGTAATGGCGGTACGGCAGCGGCAGGGGCCCGTCCATGTGCAGGATGTAGTGCTGTGTGCGCAGGAAGCTCTCCAAGTACTGCGGGTGAGAGGCCATCTGCTGCGACACGGCGTCCACGCTGCCCCTGCTGACCAGAGCCTTCATGAACAGCAGCGACACGCGCTCCTTCTCTCCGTTCACCATCACCTACAGAGAGCAGGCAGAGAGGAGAGGGTTTCTGACGGGACAAGCACAATCTTTGTTCCGTTTGTTGTTGCAGTCAAATCGGGGGATGATTTATAGCTGTGATCATGTGTTTGATGCTGAGGCAGAAGTCATTGGACCTGAAACGAGGTACATTTATTGACTTATCCAGCAACAGAAAATGAACTGGTATACATTGTAATAATTCTAATAATTGCTTAAATCAGTATATCAGCAAAAATCCCCCAAATAAACGGATTCCAGTTGATCGGATATGGGAGTTTTAAGTAATAAAACTAGATGAATTGATAAAGAACGAAAACCTTATATGCAGCCATAAATGTCAGATAAATGTGTACTCTGTGTAAAACGTTTCCAATAAAATACTGCTTACATATAAATGGTGATAAGACGTAATAAAACAGTAACACAGGGCAGACTGTCCTTTCGGTGATTTATTAGAACTTATTTTATAGCCAAGAAAAGTTGGCTCAAGATAAAGTGCGGCTTCAGCGTCCACACCGTGTGACGACGGGCACCGACTGTGCTTTGGACTGGAGTCATGTTCCACACCTTAAATCAGCTCATGAGTGTTGAAGGAACAGTGGCCGCGATGCTGGGATACCGGCGCCGGTGGCAAGCCAGTGCATTCCTTACATTATTCTTTCTGCAACTAAAACAAGCAAACAAAGTGCTCAGCCGCCAGCCCCACAGGCACCGAGACACCACCTTGTGTTGGCTGCAGCAGGATCTGAAGCCTCATAAACATTATCATTACTACATGTAGCTGAGCCATATGGGTATCCACATCTATTAATTAAAAGTGGATGCAGTAGACAAACTCAATAGATGGACTGATACAACGACGCAACCAGGAAACCATTACACCCAGGGGAAAGGGGGATTTAATGCTGGGTGGAACCGCAGAAGAAGAATCTAATGTGAAATGTGGGCTTATGAGGCCTTGAAGAGGGAAGCTCCGCAGTAGCAAAGAAGTGGATGAGGCCAAACACACAAACATAGGTGGGATTGGGCCGAGGAGCCCGAGGCCAAGAGAAACAGACCCATGAGGAGAGGGAAGCTGTCCTGCCCTCATAGGCACAGCCATTTATTTCCTGCCTCGCCATCATACAATGGCCTCTAGGAAAAGCCTTGGGCGACGACTCAGTTTGCCTGCATGTGAAACCTGAGAGCACAGCGCTGATCAAAACCAAATGCTTCACTGCAGTTGGAATTGTACGAATGTTGGCGAGGACTTGTCGCAGCACAAACTGCTGTCTAGGATTAATCCTTTCCCCGACAGCTCGGCTCATGTCACGGATAGTCAGAGAAAATGTCCACGAGAGGACCATGTTACTTAACTTGAGCCAAGCACGGCTCTTTGGTATTCACCACCATGTTTATCTGGCTAGTGGCTTCGTGTGGTATTTCACTTCTCTCTACAGTGGACGAGGGTTTGATCGTGCACAAGACTCCACCTCTTGACCTATTTACGCTCAGACCTAGAAACACACATTAAATCAATCTAATGATGATGTGTATTTTAGCCTCATCTCATAGTTTATATAGAATGGAGGAAAGTCAAGAGGACGATTAAAAGGCAGTGAATGAACTGCACTAAATAAAACCTCCTTATAGTCGGACCCTGACCCACTCTGGTCTGTCAGCGGACATGAGGACAGGCTGGAGGGCAGAGCACACAGGTGCCTGCCAATCAAAGGCCTCCTGACAAGAGCACATTCACACAAGTATCTCTCTGCAAACACAAGAGCTGCTGATTAGTATTCTGGGCTGCAGAATCTACGTTACTGCTTCATCAAGCACCAACCGGCTCGGTCACTTAAAGGAAAAGGCCTTACAGAGGTCGCTGCTTTGAGGTCGACTTGTCAAGGACTTTTCATGCAGGGAGACCACTAATTCTGTCCAGCGTGTCACTATAGATCGCAACATAAACAGATTATGACTGATCCATGTGAAACTGTTCAATCAACGTCTCTCAGTTTAATTTATAATAGTAAAACCACACACTCCTTAATCAGAGGTTTAAGAAATGGTGGTTCTGTAGTCAATGTATTAACCTGAATGATGTTATGTTAATAGGACAAGTATCAATATTTGAGTTAAACATTAAACAGTTATTTTTCAGTTATTAATGAATTAAAGTGACTGAAGAATGGAGACCAAGATGTACACACAGTATTTAGATGAAACATCTGCTTATGTAACTGCCAGTATGTGATGGCAAGCTGACACTTGTGCCACTATAACAGTCAGCTGTTGAATGATTATCACTTTTTTGTAATGTACAGAATGTGTTTTGTTGCAGTGCAAAGCTGACGGTATGAATGCAAAACAATAAATGTACTCCGGGTCTCAGATTTACGACCTGTACCAGACGTCCCAAATGCAACACTGGAAATATGGCGCCTGCTTATGAAAAAAAACAGACTATCAAGAAAAACTGAGTCTCTGGCAAAACCTTATCAAAGTGGGTCATCGTGAGCAACCAGGTGACGCAATGAATGTGGGCATAACACAGACTGCTACTTGCTCCAGTAGGGGCTGTGTGAGCTCTTTGTTCACAGTGTGAAGGGAAAACACAATATCTGCATAAGCTTGACTCAGAAAATGTAACTGTTGCTGTTAGAAAATGTTCAAACTGAAATGAGAGAATGGGCTGCACAGCCAGATGATAAACCCACTGCTATTTTACATACAATATGTAAGCATGAGAACACAAACTCCTCATAGCCAGTGGGCAAATAAATGACTAGTTTTGTCATTAATTTGATCTTCAGCCAGTGTCAAATCTAGAAACAAGTAACAAGACTTACTCATGTACAGACAGAGGAGACGGGAATTGTCCTCACCAGCGTCTCCCCATCAAAGAGGAAATTGGTGTTTCATGAAATGTCATAAACATGTCTGGACAAATGCGACAGAAAGCCAATTCTGAAACAGGAACTAGTTGATGTGAGCACAGCAGGAAATAACACATCCTACAGTTTTAACTGAGTGAGCTGACAGCTTAACATGAAAGCACAATTGAAAGTCAGCAGTCAGCAGCTCGAGACAATTTACAGTAAGTTGATGATTATGCTATGTGTCATTTTGAAAAGATTCCAAGATTTTGAAACTACTGAAACCAAAACAAAAAGCATCTTAAATGTCTGACCAGTAAAGCAATGAATATTTCGTTGTTTCCCCACATCCATCCCAGCCCATTTATCAAATCAATACTTGTGATTAATACACCCAGGGAAATAAGGTTTATAGACATGTTTTGCAGAGATTGTGTCCAGAGACACCCATGCACTTTGCTTCGTGTTTTTTGCCTGCACACAGCCGTACTTTTGATAAAGCGATACGCTCCTTATTGTCCACCCACAGGAAAAAAACACCCGCATTAAACAAAAAGAAAAAGCTGTTAACAAGCATATTTTGGTTTCACATAGAAGCAAACAGTCTCATAGAGAAAGATATTAAGGCTTTGTGCACACAACCCTATTCATTCTGCTTACAGTACGCCCAGCAGCGAAGGATTTGGAAACAAAGCCATTTTTTTCCTAGTCAAAAACAAGCTTGGGGGTGACAAAAGCGAGAAGGCTCTGTTGATATTGAAGCCCTGCTCTATTCAAATCAAAAGATGAATTCAAACTTGTGGCCTGGTTGCAAAAGATAGAAGAAGAATGAAAAAGCTGCCTGTTGTGGGAAAACATTTACAGGTGAAGATCATTTGACATTCAAAAAAAAAAAACGTCCCTTGCCGCCACAGGAGAGGTCATTTGTATATTGATCAGAGAGCAGCAAGAGGCAGGGATGACATGAAAAACAGGAGTGACGTCGCTGAAGGGAGGAAAGGTAAATGCAGACAAAGAGCGGCTTTGATGGCAGGCTGACAAACAAAACAGCAGCACTGTACAGGCAGGAACATGAAGACGTCACACAATGATGTGGGAAAATGATGCAAGCAGTCCTCTAAGGGGAATTGTGTCAGTTTGAGATGAGACGTGCATGTGTGCATGTAGTGTCTCTACAGTAGGAGTGTGATTTTGGTGGGCTGCAAGAGGGGGGCTGCTGCGGATACAGGAGAAGGACATTCAATCTGCATTCCAATTGAGCCTGGAGGGGGTCCGTCCTTATCCTGCGCCGGCGTTCTGGCAGCATTAACCCCCCCCTCTTTAAAAAATTACCGGAAACACAAGCAGCCAGGGCCGGTTTTGGCCTTGCAACCTGAACTCAAGAGTGTAACGCAAAACAAACCAGCTGCAGCCCAAAGATGTTTTGAGAGGGGAGGAGAAGAGGGGAGGGTAAGGACAGCAGATACAACACAACCAAGACAAACAAAACACTGTGCTGCAGGATGACAATAAGAAATAGGGAAAGCCGAGCCCATATACGGCAGATGAATTATTGGACCTGTCAGAAAACAAGGCAGGCAGGTAGAGCAAAAGACGGATAACAAGGTCATTCAAAAACAAGCCGAGGGTGAGCGGGTTATAAAAGCGGGTGCTCAAATGTGGTGTTGCTTAAATTGCCTGCTATATACTTCTTTATTTTAAACAGCTTTCGGGTGCAATGTCTGTAAGGAGCTGTAGTACTCATAGGGTTATTATGGTTTGCATAAGCATAGGTCTCAACAAAAATACACATTGTTTGCCATTTAGTTATAACAATGACGTACTCAAATGGCCTGTACAGAAAAATGCAAGCTGAATGTCAATGAATATGAACATAACACAATGAGAAGGGTACTGAAAGGAACACATATTGGACTTGAACCCAAAGTGGAGGGTTTTGAATCCCTTGTTGCTCACATTCCTCCCTGTTTTGCTCCATTTCTGGACTCTAATCTGCAGCATACATGGCTTTTTGGACTGCACTCGGGACAGCGCCCCCCTTCTGTTGCAAAATGGAAAAACAGCCACAGAGGAGAAAAACAACTTTGATTGGCAGTCCAGTTCAGCCAGCAAAAAACAGCACAATAAAAGTCGCCAACATTTATAGCGTCTTGCAGTAAAAAGGACTGAACAATCCCCATATGGCCTCATAGATTAAACGCATTTACACTGTCCGGTCACCTAGAGCATTGCTTATATATTATTTATGGTGAATAAATGTCACTGCATTACTCCACAGCCACCAAAACTGACACACTTGTTTTCCTAAATCTTCAGATGATGTCATCGTCACCTATAGATTTCTCCTCGTACTGCAACATTCATATTTGTTACTGCATTTAAACATTAGTATTTGACTGTGAACCTTAAATATAACCATGTACTGTAAAGGAAAGCACTCAAATCACCACTGATGAACCAACAAAGGAATAGTCTTCGTTACATGGATTGTGAAGGCATAACATCACAGTGGCTGCACAAACAGATTTTGTTCATATTAATGTTTTACGGTAGCTTGTTATACCTTGATATAGCTGACATGTAAACGGCTGGAGATGTAAAGGATTAAAGGTGCCTTGATGATGATAAAAAGTGGCAGCTCATTACCCCCAATTAAACAATTAAAACTATGTTTGATTGTCTTTTCAGTTTGATTCAACTCTAGCATGATTGCTCTATATACCGTTAGCTAAGTTAGCTAGCTAAATCAGTTTGGTAATGCTATTTTTGCTCACTAGCTAGCTTCTAGTTGACAAGTAAAAAAGTTGAGATATTTAAAACTGTTTAAAACTGCAATAGTCATATTGTCAATAAGCTGTTTCCTGTCTAAACATGCTATTTAAATTTAAAAAAGACAACAAAGCTAAATGAAAGAGGTGGTTAAGAGACGAGTTGTTACTCTGATATAAAATAATCCCTTTATCAAATGAATGAACGTTACCCAGGCGACACAGTTAGCCGTTAGCTTTAATTGTGCTGAAACTATTTCCAACTGCTTCGTCTCTTGTCAGCTTACCTGTTTGTGCACGCGCTGACACTGGGTTCTCAGGGGGTACTCCATTTTACTCGTACAGATGATCATTTTCCAATAAAAGTGTGCTACTGCATGGATGCGGCTCTGTCTTTTCCTTGGTGTTTTCCAAGCTATAGCTAACAAAAGGCAAGACGAGCCTGCCTGCCTGCCTGCCGCTAGTTGCAGTCAGCCCGTCGCTCTGGAGCTGAAGACTGGGACAGCAGAGCAGAGAAACCTTCCACAGGCTGACAGCTCCGGTAACAGTGTGGCCAATCAGCGCTCAGGGGGCGGGGCTACGGGCTCATATCAATGCTAATGAACATCTGCAAACAACAGCACACACAGTCCCACTTTACAACACTTTACAACACTGTCCCAACCAGTGTTGTAAAGTAACTAAGAGCATTTACTCAAGTACTGTACTTAAGTACAATTTTGAGGTACTTTACATGAGTATCTTCAACAAAAACAACCTGACTCAGGGACAGCTTTATTATCCCACAGGCCATAGGACTATAAAACTCCTGATCTTTTTCACAACTTCATACCATTCATCTGTTAGCATACAGCCGTATTGTATTCTACTGTGCAGTATTTAATTTTACATCGTGTTTTTAGCTCATCTTGTTCTATTTTACACTTACGTATTTGTGTATTGTTACACCCTGTTTTAAGCTCCTGTGCTGATTTATCTTGAACATACCGCACACGTGAATTAGGGGAATGTTGAATCTGGAAATGGTATAATCTGGTCGCCCAGGGGCCTGTCTCCAGTGGTGGTGTGTCAATAAGTAGGATACATTTAAGTACTGTAAAGGGCTATGCATACTTATATACAGATTATAGGTTCTTGTACTTTACTTTAGTATTTTACTACATTTGTCTAACATTAACGTCTATCATTATTAAACTGCTTTCAGGGACTGAGTAGCTAATTGAGAAGGGAAGTGACCTTCAGGTGAGTTCTTGTTTACTGCAACAGCACACAATGATTATTCATCAGTTTGTGGAAAGGACTTATCAGTTTCAACATGATAATATATATAGACAAAGACACCCGGTTTGGTGGAAAACTGACTTGCAATGAAGATCTGATCTTAGAGAGGTACTATTGTCTTCATATAGATGCCGAATTACCATAAGGGACACAACATGACCAGAAAAAAACACAAAGTAACCAAAATAGTACTACAAGGAGAAGCAACAACGACTACAAAGAGATGTAACTTTGTGCAGGGTTTTATTGAGTCCTCGCCTCTTACTGAAAGGGACCTTTGTTCTATATCAGGCATCTTGTTATTGAATTGAATTAAATCAGGTTGTTTTTGTGACTGAGAATCAGGACATTCGTATCATTTAGTTGCTGTGTTTTTGTACTGTCTTACCAGCTCCTGTCTTAAGATAGGGTCATGTGGTAAGCGTGACATCAATTATTCAGGCAATCACCATGTCAATCTTTTTAATGTTAATAGTTCCTCAAAATGTAAGAATTTAGATTGTTTTCCTTTTAAAAATGGTTGCATGATTCTATGGAAACTTCTGTTTTATGAAAGTGGAAATTAAAACATATCTGGTTGGTCAGTTAAAATGGAGAATGGAAAATGATAGTATTTGCAAATGAACCTCCATATTTGCAGTGTGATATCCACTTACAAAAAACACACTTTTGCTATAAATACAGATCTAATGTCTAAAATCACCTTTGAGTGTTGAAAATATAAAATAGTTAACATCTGAGTAAAAATAAAACAGAGGAGAGCTCTGGTGCGGTAAACATGTGATACGAGACTATAAACTTTCCATATCAGATTAAATAGCAGTCTGCACAAACATCATGTGAATCTACTGCTGCGGTAGGTAGAACCAGTCCAAACCGGTTAGCTATAGTTTAAATTGATTCAGGAGAAACATCAGAAGGTTGGGACTTGTCCTAGAAAATATCTGCAATAATAAGGGGGTATCCAGATTTTAAGCCTACTCCTAGATGAATCTAAGGACTGTTTTCATTATCTAAAGTGACCTCAAAGCAAAGGTGACGTCTTCAATTATATATTACAGTCCAGAACCAAAATACTGAATGTTCTACGTTATCTTAACAAAGAAAACAAGGAAATATTCACAAATGACAAGCTGGATTTAAGGGATTGTTTGCCATTTCAAGACTTAAACGATAAACAATTATAAATACTTTTTTACTAACTTCGAAAACAGGAAGAAAATTGAGGCTCCAACTCAATTTTCTCTGTGCAATAACAGGTCCTGGGAGACATTTTATTAAAGGATCAATTAAATGGAAGAAAGCATCGTATCTCTTTCTATAGAAAAGGGGCAGATTCATTTTAGATCGACAAATAGTTTCTACTCTACAATGTATAACGAAGATATTGACTGAAGATCTTTCTGGGATCAGGGTTAAAACTTCTCTGGGGAACTGGCTGTGAATTCCAGAAAATTCCTAGAAATGAAGCAAATTAGAATGAATTATTAATTCTCCTTTAATTTCAATTTGACTGGAAGCAATAAACCACTTAGCACCTAACAAGGGTGGGGACGAATGATAACGCTACATTTCAGAGATGGTATGTCTGAGTGCCCTGGATCCACTGAGCGTTAAACTTGTTTTCCGTTGTTTGTTAGTATAACTTACCATTTCCTTTTTCAAGCTGATGTGGTTGATCAGCTGTTACCACAGCATCAGACAGTTGTTGTGCTTCACTTCACTGTCGTTTCTACAGAAATTGTTCAAGACAAAAGCAGAAGGGAATTTCCTAAGAAATATGTAGGCGCAGTTCTGGTTTCTTCCTGTTGTACAGTAAGAGGATATTGTTCATCAAGCTGCCAGAAATGCCATCTACCCCTCAGGGAATTTGGCATTAACATTATACAAAACAACTAATAAATGTATATGCCATCACACTGTTCAATTGTTCAGCACCATAACAGGTTTTATTAACACATTTAGTTGGTGAATTATAATAGAAAACAGAAACGTTCGACCTCTGTGTCAAAAAGAGGACAAATGTTGCCTGCCCTGACTCTAAACACTGTTCAGATGTTGAAGAGCTAAAAGAAGCTATGTGCTGCTGTTCACCCATCACTTCCTGTTTAACCAAACCTCTCCTGCTGAAGAAACCGTAAGAGTCAGCGTTGTCTAAGAGTCAGCGTTGTCTGGCCAACATCAACACCAGTTTCCTGATATTCTACAATGTGCCTTTTAAATAGCGACTCTTGGTGAACAAGACTGAAAAAATATCTGTCTCTGGGTTGTTCAGTAACATACACATTATAGAGGATTTAAAGCCTCTCATACAGTTATACATGAAGCAGGCAGACTTAGAAGAAAAGGGGGTCATGGCGTATAAAGAGGGGTTATACTTAAAGGTCACCTATTATGCAAAATCCACTTTTTCATGTCCTTTACACATAAACATGTGTCCCCTCTGTGTAAAGAGATTCTGAAACTTTCAAGAAAAAAGACTCACTCACTTTTTGTCCTGATTGATTTATATAAAAACCTGTCTGAAAATGAGCTGATCAGATTTTGATGTCATAACGTTGTTGGCGAGTACGGCAAATAAAAGTTGTAACAAGCAGTAGCTCTGAGAAAAGTGACTAGAACGCAACCACACTTAAAAAAACAACAACACACTTTATAAAGTCAGGCAACACTAACCAGGCTTCGTGTGATTCTGTTTATTTGTACCTTACTTTGACCATCCGTTCACTGTTATTGATCATTGTGGAGAGCAGGCAGACGTTTTGTTTTGTATTATAGCAGCTATCGGATGGAATCAATACATGGGCTGCACAGGTTGTCATGTCCGACTATCACAAGTAGAATCATAATGAAAAATACGCCGGTAAAATGTGCCTGTAGAAAACGGCTTATGCCACAATAGGATAGCAACAACAAGTAGTCAGTTTAGCTTCGGTTGCTATGCTAACATCACCCATTTTATACCAGAGAAACTTTAATAAAGCGTTGTGATGCTAAACAGCGTCAATTCAGACTGACACACATTCACCTATGGGGAATTGGGGATATGTATCAGCTGCTTGTGTGACAGTCAGACAGTGAATACGGGAATCGCGTTGGTGTGAAAGCCCTAAGAGAATCAGCGCTTTTGAAACAGGCCTGAAACAGAGGGGATTATGGGATGCTGCAATGATGAATGAATGAATGTTTGGTATTTGGAGCCAAACACTTCAGAGACATGTTTTGTATATATCTGAGACCTATAATATATTGATAAAAAACAGTATAATAGGGGACCTTTAAAATATTAACCACATGGTACCATATCAAAAACCTTCTCCGAAAACAGCCTAGAGCTTTAACCCACTAAATGTATGCATCTTGCCAGGTTGGGTAAGTGCTGAAATGATAATCAACATTACCAGGTCAACATTATCTCACCCTTGTGGTAAACATTGGAACAACTTAATTTTCTGTGTGTTGCATCAAATCAATTTCCGTGTCATTATAAAGCAGAGAACTGGATTTGTGTCTGCCTTTGGAATAAGGGGAAGTTAGAAGAAAGTGATATGAAATCATGTACAGAGAGCCTTGTTCAGTGTTGGTTAGATTATTCAGATTTCCTTTCATAATAACCTTGGTAAATTCTGTATTTTTTCATTTATGATATACATTTTTCTTCTTTATTTTTATGTACGAATGCACCACTATGATTTAAGGTCATGGTGGTGCATTCACACATGAAAATTAAGGAGTTATTTTCTACAATAGACACCATAAATGAAATATAAGTGGGTCTTTTTTGACCCGGTGAGGTGGTTTTCTTGAAATAACTTTGTAATTTAAAAAAATTATCATTTCATATTCCAGCTATTCCTCAAAAAACATGTTTTGGATATCATGCCATTCACATTTTAAATTTAAATGTTGAATTGTTATACATTGAAATTGTAGTTTTTGTATTACTACCCCAAGCTTCCAAAAGTAGGTCAAAAATGACCCGCATGCATTTCCTATGGGAACCTTTGATTCTTATCACCTGTTGCTGTCAGGAATACATTCACTGTAGAACACACAGACTATATCACAAGTGACACCTCTCAGGAAGATTATTTTACACAGCAACATCTGATACCTGTCAGTATAATAATAATAATAATAATAATAATAATACATTATATTTTTATAGGGCTTTTCAAGGACTCAAAATCGCTTTACAATATAAGGGAAGGTTAGGTTAGATTGATGGGCGGTGGAGGAGAAGAGATGGAATACTGAGGGTCTCAGAATAGCGGAGATCTTTGCATCAATATGTTCAAAACTTATTTTTTCAAAATGTAAAAAAAATGGCTAAAATTATAAATAGTAAAAAATTAAATATAAAATATTTCTAGTGTGAACGAAAATATAATACTAAATATTATACAAGTGATTTTTCTTAACCAAAATGACAAAAATGGCATAAAAACATATTATTCTAATACGGGTCCTTTTTGACTCACTTATGGAAGAGTGTAGGGTCCAGTCACTCGTGCATCGAAGGGTTAACTTTATTATTTGCCCCTTTTGTTTGTTTGTTTGTTTGTTTGTTTGTTTGTTTACCATGTAAAGCGGCCTCGGGTCCCTTGAAAGGCGCTATACAAATGTAATCTATTATTATTATTATTTTGATGTAATAATGAAATTCTGTAACACTGAGATTTCACAGACAGAAAAAGATATGTTAATATATTATTATTTAATATTCAAAATGTCAAACAAGCCCTAAATTGTTCAACAGTTTGCTGTACAATCAAATTAAAAGGACGCAATCTACAACAATTCCCTCCATATTAAAAAAAGTATCATTATGTTACAGAAAACAAGCAGTCCAGTAGATTTAGAGTTTCACTGAACACCGAGGGCTTTATCGAGGAAATGTGCAAAGTTCTTGGGCTGTCCGGGCAAAAAGGGCTGAAGAACGGAGAGATCCATCGTCCTCAGAGTTTCTGTCAGGGTGCTGAAAAACGTTTTATGAAAAAAGGATTGTTACTTTCATTTAGCTTAAAACGTCACATCTATAATAACATGGAGCACGAAAAAGTATTAAGATATACAAATTTACAAAACAAGGAATTAATAAATACGCAAAAATCTAAATTTAAAATCTAATATAGAAATGGATAACAGACGAGTGTTAATAAATTCATAAATAAATAAACACACAATCAAATTAACAGCAAAACAATAGAAATAAAAAATTACATTTAAAATACATTATTTATATCTGCTTTAATTATTTATTTATGCATTTATTTATTTATTTCCATATTAACTTCAACATGTATTCATTATTTTATTGGTGCATTTAAGTTGGTTATTTAAGTATTTAGAATGTATTTATTATTATATTCAGTTATGTAATTCTTTATCTATACCTGTATTTAAAAATACACATTTATTTATACTTAAGTCATTTATCTGACATGTATACATGTATCAAATCATTTATCTGACATGTATACATGTATCAAATCATTCTGATCTTTATAAAGTGTAAAGATGGAAAGTCATACCTGCATGTGCAGTACAACAGGTGTGAGTCCATGTGCAGCTGTCTGGCCATCTCCAGCTGGTGGTTGTTCATCAGTTTGTCATTGACGACGACCAGCAGAGATTTTCCGGCACCGAGTGACTCCAAACAACTTCCTGCTCCTGAGAAGAAAAAGAAGATCGAGATCCGGTCAATGTGAAGATCTGGAGTCAGGCGTTTTCTTAATTTCTCGTTGTCTTACTATAGAGTGAAAGTTCAAGATAGACTTTCATACAGAGTTTTGAAACAAGCTTAAAACGGTCAATTCATACCAGTAAACTAATTGTCTACTTTGTGTTGTCCGTTGCATTCAACAGGTTGGAAGCTCTGCCATTCAAGTAGAGACGTGCCGAATATCTTTTTTTTCTTCTATTGAGGTTTTCGGAAAAGCTCTGATAGTATGTTGCCATGTTTTATGATGTTATCCCCCTAAAAAATATTTTAAAATGTATTATTTCGTTATCTTGGTTTTTAAATGAATAGTGCCTTTCTAGCTAATTTAGGATGACGAAAGAAAAAGAAGAGAACACTTTGAGTGTTGATGTAGAATTTGGTTGCGTACAGCACTACATTCAAGATGACCAATGAACACAATAACATGTCCAGATTGATGGAAGTCATGTAAAAAGGCTAAAATAATGTTTTAGTTTCATCAGGTTTAAAGGTTGTTTATCTTATAATTAACTTTAATCCAGCTGTTAATGTAACATGATACCAAAGAGTTTTTGCTTTTGTTGGAAAAACATAAGTTTCCAAATCTATGAAATACTTTTTAACATATTCAACAAGGATGTGAAGTGTTCAAATGTGTTTGAAGCTTAGAAATATGGGCTCAGAACAGTCTCATAATACACACATGCACACAGAAGGATTCACACTTGTATTTCATGATCCGCAAAAGGATTCACACTTGTATTTCCGGATCCACGGATGTGTGTGTTTTTCAATGCACACACAAATGTGTTCTGTTTCATATACATGTAAATAAAATCCAAATACAGAAAAATGTTTTACATATGTATTTTTGATCCTCACTTATTAGTTTTCCGTTTAAATCCCCTGGACCTGCAAACACAAACCGCTTTCTGTGCATGGATCGCTGTGCATTCGCGTGTGAGTATTTTTAGACTCCCCTGACGCGCACCCGATTCGTAGTTGTAATTTTTTCTATCTATAGCCAATCAGATGTCTCCTTCATTCTAAGCCAATCACATGAGCGCGCCCCCACGAGGGTATGATTTCTTGCGTTCATGACACTTCATATACGCATTTTGCGCTGTCCGGTCAGCTCGCTAAACAGAGGGCGGAGCTTCAGGTGATCATGCAGAGCTGCGTGTCTCCGTCAGACTCAGCAGCTGATCTGATCTCTCTCTTGCGTCCGGTTATACTTCACTCGCGTTTATGTCCATATCGATCAGATCCAGCTCTCCTGATCGGCCTTTATAGAGAGCACCGATCAAACTATTAAGAGTGAATATCGGCCGATAATGACCGGCAAGGCTCCCCCCGTTGACAGTTCACTGTCTAGCACTGGCTTCGTAGTGCACTGATCGATTAGGCTAAGGCTAAGCTAACCTGTAGCTGCTCCCTCCACACTCACAACAACTTCATACAGACATAAATAAAGCAGCTGTATTCGCCATACAGGAAACACACATTTAAAACGGTTTTGCAGGCAGGCTCCATGGACCGGTCAGCTCCGGACAGCGTAAAATGCGTACATGAAGCACTACGTCATGAACGCAAGAAATCTACCCTCGTGGGGGCGCGCTAATGTGATTGGCTTAGAATTTAGGAGACATCTGATTGGCTATAGAGAGAAAAAATTACAAGTACGAATCGGCTGACCGTCAGGGGAGTCTCAAAAAACCCACACACGAATGCACAGCGATCCGTGCACAGAAACCGGTTTGTGTTTGCACTGCAGGTTGAGCTTTTAAACGGAAAACAAATATGTGAGGATCAAAAATACATATGTAAAACTTTTTTCTGTATTTGGATTTTCATTTACATGTATATGAAACGGAACACATTTGTGTGTGCATTGAAAAACACAAGTGTGGATCCGGAAATACAAGTGTGAATCCTTTTGCGGATCATGAAATGCAAGTGTGAATCCTTCTGTGTGCATGTGTGTATTATGAGACTGTTCTGAGCCCATAGAGAAATTGTAAAAACATGAAACAATTACATTACATTACATTGCATTTAGCTGACGCTTTTATCCAAAGCGACTTACAATAAGTGCATTCGACCAAGAAGATACAAACTAGAAGAAAACGGAATCATATAAGTACATCAGGTTTCATAGAGCCAACACATTTCAAGTGCTACTCAACTGGCTTTAGATAAGCCAGTCCTTTATTAGTATATAAGTGCTTAGTTAGTATCTAAGTGCGTTTTTGTTGTTGTTTGTTTTTCATTGTATTGCTCGAAGTGGAGTCGAAAGAGATGAGTTGTCAGTCTGCGCCGGAAGATGTGCAAGCTTTCTGCTGTCCTGATGTCAATGGGGAGCTCATTCCACCATTTTGGAGCCAGGATAGCAAACCCACGTATTTTTGCTGATGGGAACTTGGGTCCCCCTCGCGGTGCTGGTGCAGCGAGCCGTTTGACCGATGCGGAGTGCACGTGCTGGGGTGTACGGTTTAACCATGTTCTGGATGTAGGAAGGGCCAGATCCATTCACAGCATGGTACGCTATTGATCTTGTGCACAATAGACTTCCTCTAAGGAAAGGTTTTGCCTCATTATAACTCAAATACAGTCGTCCATGACTTGCTGCTTCTTTCCTTTAATTAAAAAGTTTCAGCTATGCAGGATAATGACTTGACAACCCACCTGTTGTCTATTGTCATTCTCACCAACACTGTGCACATGGAAGGATAGGAAGCACGTCTGAAAAAACTGTGAAGTGGCTTAAAGGCAAGTAGGCCACAACTACAATCCAATCCAAGAGATTTGCTTGAATATCATCCTGTTTTTACAGTTTGCTCGACACCCTCTGATGCCCTCATGCTGTGTTGCCTGTTGCTGTATTAATCATCAGTTTTCTGTTTAATGTTTGCACATTGCTGACATACCTGTATTTGCTCTTCCTTTGAAATCTACAGTCATTAACAGAAAATAATGGTTGTGGCACATTGACCTTATCAATCGTTTTTAATAATGAAAATCTCTTTAAAAGGCTTACATTTACAGATTGGCAGCATCAATTGATTATGATGGAATAAGAAACATATTACATTGATACATAGCCTGCACAGTTATCAATCCTAAACTACAACTTCAGTATTAAAGGCTTAACAGCATATACATCAGACCATATGGAGGCCGATTAGTTACTATAAAGGATTCAGATATAAAAGATGGTCAAGCGAATGATTGGTTTCTCTAAACAACGTTTTCTGATCTTAGATTAGTGTTTTTTTATTCTAAATACTTGAGATGTTTTTGGCATCTATGCAATTGAAATAAAATAAAATGTCAACAGTAGGACCATTCTTGTTTTGTTCCGTTTGATTTTGTTTTGTGTCAAGGCAGCAATATCTTTGTGTTATATAAAATGTAAAAAGCAGTTTTTGTGGTTGTTAAAAATCTAAATAAAACACTATTTACGGGAAGAGTGAGTTTCCAGGTGGCAGGAGCTCATGGTTTTTGATACTTTACTGACCTGCATGGCTGATGACGAGGTCGGCCTGCTCGATGTCTTCTGCTATTGAGTCTTTGAATCGATAAGCCTCCAGTGTGACGTGCGGAGAGCTGTCAGCAGCTGGAACAAGAGACCCTCTACCAACCTGAAGGACCAAACGCTCATATCCAAGAGCCGTTAAAGCCTGTGAGGAGAAAAACAAGTTATTATTAAACTAGTCACATGTTCAAAAACTCCTACTTTGAATTTGCTGCCGCGATCAAATCAAAAGTCCTGAATTCTTTGTGTACCTATCAACAAAGAATAATGTATTGCTCAAATTTAATTTGTTTTCACTCGTTAGCAATACAATTTAGTTTTGTGTATTTGGTCCTGCATATACAATTTAGTGCCACAAATCTTAAAGGTCCCATGTCATGCTTTTCTGGTTATTACCTGTCCCCTTGTGTGTTATGAAGGTTTTTATGCATGTAAACGGTCTGCAGAGTCACAAACCCTCAAAGTACACCCTGTAGCGAGTAAAACTCTAACACAGAAAATACCTGTCTATGCTGCCCCAGAACGCCTCACTAGAGATTTATCTTTTTCCATTGTTTACTTCTTGGGTATAGTGACGTATTTGGGTATAGTGATTTGGACCAATCCTCGGAGCCGTTACGTTACATCCGCAGAGCCGTTACGTTTTGGACGAATCCGCGGACTTCCTCACACACACACACTTGGTGGTACGTTGCGAGGCTCGCTGCTGCGAGGAGCGGGACAGTGTGAGCTGGCTCACTGGTGTGGGGTCGGCGAGACAGCGAGACACCGCGGAACTCAGCCTGGGCACACACACAAACCCCCAGCCAGGCTGCGGGCGTGTGTGTGTTTCGGGCTGGGTTTCGCTGTATCTCGCTGTCTCGCAGACGGCCACTGGGCTCACAGGGAGGGGGGGGGCAGGAGCTCCAACAAGGCTTTAGGACAGGAGAGGTTTCTCAATACTCTAATTTCCCCTCCTTGACTCCTCGGTCCTCCGGTTGTGACCCGGAAATGGATTTCAGTGCGCCATGTTGAAGGACATCTAATTTCTCTAAATGCACTTCGAGGACCGAGCATCGAGCAGGCTCTCTGGAGGAGCTCTAACCGAGGAGACACTGATGGGTCCTCCACGGCTCCTCCACGGATGCATTTCCAGGAACGGTGGAAGCGTTACGCACGGCCGGACTTATCTCAGCCAATGACAGCTTTGCATGCATCCCCTGGATATTATTTTAGTAACCGCTTGAACACACCTACACACTGTACCACAGTGTGTAGGTGTGTGTGTTGTACAATGCGTACGTAGATGCGGCGGACAGACGGGTCTCAGTTGGTTTGGTGTCCTTTGCTTACTTTTAATACTTGTAAATACAACTTTTGGCCCGTAATTTCAATTTCCCATTTCAGCGACCAGAGAGAGGGGGGGGATATATATATATCCAGTCTGATTGTGTTAAGTATGAGAGCACTCTCATAATAACGTGTTTGATTCTGAAATTGTATATATATTTATTAGGGCTGTCAAGTTAACGCGTTAACGGAAAAAAATTTTAACGCCACTAATTATTTTAACGCGATTAACGCATGTGTATTTTTTTTCCTCGGCCGCCCCGTAGTTTCAGAGCGCATCGAGTTTAAAATACCATCTACAAGCTGATGCTGACAGCCCCGCTCCTGCCGCCCGCTTGTGGCAGACCACACTTCCACGCTCACCGGCAGGCACCGACTGGCTGTTGGGAGGACCGGGAGGGTGTGTGTATGTGTGGCCCGAGCGAGCGAGAGAGAGACCTTACGTGCATTGTTGTTGTTAGCATCTGGTGCTAGCTAGCTGCGCTAACGGATATAAGGAGCTGTTTAAATGAAAACAGAGGAGCCACATTTCGCAGCACAAGTCAGCACTCTCAGTGCGCAACATGATTGCAGCGTCCAGGCAGCTCCCGTTCGAGCATATGCCTTGAGTTGCACATAGCTCCAACGATCACACACACACACACACACACACACACACACACACACACACACACACACACACCACACACACACACACACACACACACACACACACACACACACACACACACACACACACACACACACACACACACACACACACACACACACACACACACACACACACACACACACACACACACACACCACACACACACACACACACACACACACACACACACACACACACACACACCACACCACACACAACACACACACACACACACACACACACACCACACACACACACACACACACACACACACACACACACACACACACACACACACACACACACACACACACACACACACACACACACACACACACACACACACACACACACACACACACACACACAGTATTGTATTATTGTATGAGAGTGGTTCCAGGTTGAATTGGGCGAATATTTGTAATGTTCAGAGGTTGTTGTGTTTAATATTCATGAGAATATTTGTCATTGTTCAAATGATAATAAACATTAGCATAAAGCATATTTGTCCACTCATATGTTGATAAGAGTATTAAAAACTTGAAAAATATTCCTCTAAGCTACATTTAGAACAGATAAAAAATGTGCGATTCATTTGCGATTAATCGCGATTAACTATTTTAATCGACTGACAGCCCTAATATTTATATAAATATATGTGTGTGTATATGTCCGCATCTGTAGCCTGTTATTGTCTCATTATACCGCACTGTCAATTCATTAAAAGTAAATATATAAGTCGTCATGAACACATCTGTCCATCAGACAGAGGGCTGCTGTGCCTCCTGTCATCATTAATGGACGTCTCTTTAAAATGACCGCTCAGAGGAGAGGAGTTCTCATTTCTCTAACCGCCTGCTGCTTCCCCTCCTCAGTCCTCCGCTCGCATCTCCTGTGGGCGGGACTAAGTATCGAGGATAGGAATCGAGGAAAGGAGTCGAGGAGGGGAAATTAGAGTATTGAGAAACCTCTAGAGAGTGAATACACATACTTTACAGCAGGGGTCTCCAACCTTTTTTAGGATGAGAGCTACTTTCAAAAAATAAAACAAGTGGTGAGCTACTTTTACTTCTCCTTTTTTTGTATTTAGCACATTTGAACATTATGATATGCTTACCTTTAACCTTTGTGTGCTGTTTGGGTCTGTGGGACCCGTTTTCAGTGTTTACTAAAAGAAAATGTATGCAATTTCATTATTTTAACCTGCTTTATTTGGGGGTGGACCTCACATCCTCTAGGGGGGTCCGGGGGCATGATTATTTTTAAAATGTTGAAGTGAAATGCATCAATCCGCTCCACATTGCTTTTCTTCCCGACTGCAACGCTGGTCCCGCAAATCAAGCAAGAACATGATTGGTCGATATTCAAGACATGATTGGTCGATATTCAAGAACATGATTGGACCCCATGGGGGTGGGGGGAGGAGGGGTGTCAGATAGATATAGAGTTGTAGTAAGTAGATAGAGTTCGCAATGATTGTGGTTTCGTCTATTCATAGGGTAGATTCTTTTAATTTACATTTTTTTGTGTATTTTTGACATTTTGGATTTGTTTGGCGTGCTACATATTGATTGATTGATTGAAAAGTTTATTAACAGCTTGTATATTGGGTACAGTACAGTACAGCTCAATTGAGGGCTTGCGAGCTACCGGTAGCTTGCGATCGACGTGTTGGAGATCCCTGCTTTACAGAGATGATGTATGAGAAACCAATGTGAGTTTGGAAAATTGCACAATATAAATCTATTCTAGTAGACCTCAACAATGGAATTATGATCAGTAGAAATGGCCATGACATGGGACCTTTAAGTATAGCCTCGAAGCTAAAACATCCCTTTTATAAGATAATCTGACTGTATACTTTTCATTATTCTAGCCATGTGGGTTTGTATGTGATTTTACTTTGTATGTCAATTTATTTAATTATTTCTCTTTGGTATCCAACTCTTTGAATGATTTACATAACCTGAATAATTATGCTATCATTTAAAAAAGTACTGTTCATACAATGTATTTGTATTGTTTAATTAAGCCAATAAAAACAACAACAAAATCAGAATCAAACTCGGGTGCTCTTTTTTTTAGCTTTAGCTTGTTTACTCACCTGAACGGTCTCTGGACTCGTGATGCTTTCAATGAGCTCATCGAAGCTCGTGGTGCCGACAGTAACAAACACGGTCTTCATAGCTGCTTATCTCTCAGTTTTCTTTATGTGTTAAAGTATTTTTAAAACACTTTACAGGCTTTTTTCTCACAGCTCATCTCATCCTGACAGCTACTTCCGCATTACACTGATGACGTCAGAGTCTGAACCGTGAAAATACGTGCTGCTGCCCCCGCGAGGCCTGGAGCTACAACTGCTATATTTTCATACTGCTAATACCACTTTAAACCCAGTTTAGATGATTCAGAGCTGATTTTCTGAAGTTATACATGAAATATAACAGTATAGAATGTGACTTATTTATAATGAAAATCATCTAAACTTAATTCATACAGCACCTTTTATATCAAACAATAAAACAATAGCCATACGTTTACATAACAACCTATAACTCATAATAACCTTGTAGTCAGGGTTCAGACTGTCTGAGGGAATCAGGACTGCAAACTAACATCTTTTAAATCATTTTTAAAATTTGATTTTTTTTAAAACTTACATACACTCGTTTTTGGTTTTCTGGCTCTGTTTGTTTTATTCTCTTGTGTTTTAAATGTGGTTTGTATTACTGAAAAGCACTTTGTTTTGAAAGTTGATATAGGAATAAGGGGGCATCATTCATATTTATATATTTTCTCCATATACCATATATGTGTGGAAGATTATGAGTGCCAGGCTTTAAAATGTGGCATTTCTTTGTTGCATTTTGAGAATAAAGTGGAAATGCCACAATTAAAGTTGATATTTCAAGATTAATGTTATATTTTTGAGAGTAAATAAAACCTCTAGCGTCAGTGCACATACTGACAGTTCAACTTTATTCTCGAAATCCAACATTTAAAATAAATATTATTTGTTCCCCTGTTCGTAAAGCCCTAATAATCCTCAGTACAATGGTCTACATTTCACAACAGGATTTTTCCTCTGATATCTAGTTAAGATTTAGCCTCTCATTTATTTTTGTCGCCATACATGTTTGCTATTATCTCATGAAACGTTCACTCTTTATTGCATGGATCATACCAGACAAGCATGCTTAATGTCTTCAATATTATGCAAGTATTGTATACATCTACACACACTTTTACAGTCAACCAAATGTGGCAGTTAGTACCTCTTTTGACCTTCAAATCACCAAGTGTGTCTTCATGGAGATATCAAAAGTTATGAAAACAATTAAACGGATTACAAAAATATTTCCCATTACTTACCAAGTACATACTGGTTTTGTTGTGTAATTCACTACAAATTAACAAAACGTGTATACCTATCTGTATGACCCTGGGTGGGGACCTTTGATATTTTGTGGCAACATGAACAGTGTGGAGGCTGCTTTCTCTGTCCTGTAGTTCAACCACACATTAGAGCTGCAGTGATTAGTGTTCTATTTCGTATATGGCTTCGCCCTGGCTATCGCTATTGGGTTTACCCTTCTGCGCCCCCGCGCAGTACTGAAAACACTTGTAGTCCACGCCCACCCGCTAGGTGGGCCCCACCCTCGGGCCTCCTTCCGGTATAAATAGGGAGGTTGCCCGGCGATCTGCTCCCTCTTTTCTTCAGCAACCAGCAGTTTACTGAAGCACGAGAAAAGCAACATCATGAGCAATAAAGAGTGTGTCCGTATGTGCCCTTCGTGCAATACGGGCTACATTATGAGCTACGATTTGCATCCGATATGCACAGCCTGTCTGGGGCCAGAGTACGCGGACGCGGCTCTCAGCCAGCAGGTCGCATGTCCTCACTGTGTGCGTCTTCCTTCATCCGACAGGAAGCGAAGGGCGGACGCTCTAGCTGCTGCGGGTGAGGAAGACGTCTGGGGTGGGCAGGAACCCATCCAGAACACACCACCGTGGCTCCAGAGGAGGCGGAGGAGATCGCTAAGACGGCCAGCACGGCGCTCTCGCTGTGCGCAGCCGTGGCGGTGTCCCAGGCGAGGATTAGCAGCCTGGATGACACAGATCCAGCGTCACCTCTGGTTACAGGCAGCGGTCACAGAGTCAGCCAGGAAGGTTTTACTGGACGCTCCGATCAGCTCGGACGGGCTGTTCGGGCCCCAGTTCCTGGCCATGCTTGATTCCATGAAGGCGGCATCGGAGCAGGCGGAGGGCATCCGCCAGCACGTCGGCTGGCTCCAGCCAGCGGTGAAGCAGCAGCGACACCAGCGGCAGCAGCAGCAGCCAACCCGGCCCCAGCGGCAGACGGACAGACACCAGCAGCAACAGCAGCCGAGGCGTCAGAATCGTCCGTCAGCGGCGGCCGGGGCACCGGCCCACACCTCCAGGGCACCGTCCCGCACCTACGGGCCCCCACCAGAGGGGGGTAAAAAGGGAGTGAGATACTCCCGTTCGGCGTCTGCTCCATGAGAGCCGCCGAGGAGACAGAGCGGCCTTGACGGTTTGGGAGGGAGTGTGAGGAAAATAAAAATAAGCTTATTTTCCAACATGTTGGCTGAGTCATCAGTTTCAAATGTGTTTCACATATCCCCCACTCTGGGTAAACCAGCTGCCTATGACCTATCGGTTAATAGCCAGCAGGATTCGTTACAAAAGCCTGCGCATTTTAATCTATCGATTAATAAGCTGCGGAGCACAGTAACTACACCAGCTGCCTTCAATCTGGTGATTAGTAGGCAGCATGGTTCGCTGCAGGGTTCTGGTGGTTATAACTTTCGGTTATTAAACCACAGACCTCGCGGCATTCCTCTATCCGAGATACGCCACCTACACACGGTGACAATAAGCCCATGAGCGCCGTGGTAACGCCTCATGTGGTTATCACTGCACACACCTCCACCCATCCTCTGAGCGTGTACGCGCATCATGATGAGAGGCGGAGTGAATGCAACGTGTGGAGGCCTCCTCACAGCCTTTTCGCTAGGCCCACCTTGGGTTGCCTCCGCCCCCCCCCCCCCCCCACCAGGAGAGGGGGGGTAAAAAGGGAGTGAGGTACTCCCGTTCGGCGTCTGCTCCATGAGAGCCGCCGAGGAAGCAGAGCGGCCTTGACGGTTGGGGAGGCAGTGTGAGGAAAAATAAAAGAAGATTATTTCCCAACATGTTGGCTGAGTCATCAGTTTCAAATGTGTTTCACATATCCCCCACTCTGGCGTGTACACGTCTCATGATGCGAGTGATACGCAGCGTGTGGAGGCCTCCGCACAGCCCTTTCGTTCTAGGCCCACCTTGGGTTGCCTCACGGGCAGCGGCGGCGAGGGCTCTGGCGTGGCTCGTCGTCATGACAACCACAACACATCTCGAGCATGCGCGCCCGCTGTCAGAGTGTTTCTCGGCGTGGCAGCGCATGTGTTTGATGGACGGATGGATGCACAGGCTAATCAGCAGTTCAACGGGATACAGGTGACATGCCTAACATCCCGTGAACAGTGTCTTGCGCTCCAAGCAGAGCTACGGGAACTCCTGTTGAAGGAGGCTATTTCCAGGGTTCCCCAGGAGGAAGAAAATCAGGGGTATTACTCCCGCTATTTTCTTATCCCGAAAAAGACAGGGGGAATGAGACCCATCCTCGACCGGTCAGTTTTCAACAAGGCAATAATGAAAAGGCCTTTTCACATGCTGACGGTCAAAAAGGTGCTGTGTGTTCATCAGGGAGATTGGTTCACCTCTATAGACCTAAGGATGCATACTTCCATGTACCCATCATTCCGCAACACAGGAAATTCCTGCGGTTTTCATTCCATGGAATAGCGTACCAGTACAACCGTCTGTCGTTCGGCTATTCCCTGGCTCCTCGTACTTTTTCAAAGTGTGTAGAGACGGCGTTGCAGCCGCTACACAGAGGAGGGATGAGAGTACTATTTTTACCTGGACGACCTGCTGCTGCATGGCTCGCTCCAGGGAGGAAGCGGCTTTACAGACGGTACAACTCATATCGTATCTGTCAAAGCTGGGTTTCATGATAAATTGGGAAAAGAGCTGTCCTATTCCAGCCCAGAGTATTGTTTACCTGGGTGGAATTGAACTCAGCCCGCATGAGAGCACGACTCTCACGGCAGAGAGTGGAGTGGACACGCTGACAGCTCTCCTTCGACGTGTCACACCCCGCAGCGTGGTGACGAAAAAGCCCCCCACAGTTCAATGGGATACAGGCAGTGCTGGAATTGGGCCGGTACTCACCGGTACGCAGTACCGGCACTTCTGGTTCTGACCCATGGAGTACCGGCACTTCTTGCTCAGTACTGGCATGCTGGCGGTACTCCGGTACTCATGCACCGTGCCAGTACTCAACACTCTCCCGCCGTTCTTATTATACATCCATATATATATATACAGCCGCCCGGTACTCAGTAGATGCGTCATGAGGTGTCGAACGGACATTCTCATCGCTCTAACCGCTGGAGTTTCACAGCGGCTGTCAGCTGTTTACTCCTGTCATTCAAACAGAACGTGCTGGAGAGGGGGCGGGGCTTATCTTCTCCATGTAAATACTGTGGTGGAAACGACTATGTCAAAATTAACCTATTTGACCGTGATTTAATAGTAATACACGTTTCAAAATAATAATAATAATAATAATGCCGAAGTAACAACATACTGAAAACTGTTAGTAAAACCATGTTTTACAATTGACATACCTAGATGCACGTGTGTTGTGTTTATGCAGTGCAACTCCCACCCAGTGGGTGGCTATGTAGAGTGATAGAACAGAGCAGGCACGCCCCCGAGAGAAGGAAAGCAAGTCACGTCACAAATTAGCATTTCTAAAATGTTAGCGTGGATTAATAAAAGTGCAAAAAGACAGCGGTTGTCGCCGGAAGAAACTTAAAATACAGAGAATGCTGTGCCTGTGTTGGAAATTGTGTCTGATGGGGAGCTTTCTTTGGTTAATCCTCCTGCTCCAAGTTCTAGTGCATTAGCATTGGCACTAGCTCCGCCGCCTCCTCCAGAGCCTCTAACGTTAGCTGCTGCTGGCGCAACTGCCACCACCAACACCGGGCAAAGCGATGCACCTGACTGCTGGACAACGGACCAGGTGCAATATTTTTGCAAGACCAATGCATGGCTCCTTCTTAAAGATAAGAAGCTAGGATGTCGGATATGCAGAGATGTCAAATCTTTGGGAATACACACTGGACAAGGACTGAAACTGTCAACTGAATGGGGTGAGTGTGCAGTGTCTCATTTCGGTGTTGACAAGGGC